GACTTGACTTCACTCGTTGGCAGACTTCGCATGCGCGAACATGCTTTCGCACAAACTGATACTGGCGGGGCCAGTAAAAGTCTCGACTCACCGTGAGACATGTTTTCTCCCGGCCACGATGTCCTCCTATAGGAGCATCGTGATACTCGAACATGATCCGCAAACGCAGATCAGTATCATCTGGAATGACAACACGTGGTGTTTCACCAGAAACGGCTGTATAATACAGTAAACCGTTACGAGTGGTGTATCGATCTGATGCAGATCGATACGCAGGCGACAATCGTTTCAACGATTCTCGAGATGGTTGGGAGAGATGTGTCAACAACTTCACAATCTCACCATCTTGGGCGTATGCCCGCCTCACATCATCATACAACATTGTAGATGGGACTGAGGACGTCATGACCGCAACAGTGACTGTCTCACTGTTGGGTTTCGCGACTGTTTCAAAGTCGGGACCACGTGAGAGTGCATCAGCGACGACATTAAGTCGTCCTGGTTTGTACTCGACCGTAAAGTTGTATTCTGCAAAGAATGACAACCACCGCGCCATTCGTTGCGAAAGGTGCGGGCTGTTCACTGCCGTGCGTAATGACGCATGGTCAGTGTAAACAATGAAGGGTCTATCTCCTAATAGATAGACTCTGAACTTCGCGAGTGCATACTTCATGGAAAGGAGTTCCTTGTCATGCACTGGATAGTTCCGCTCAGCTGGTTGCAGCTGACGCGACTGAATGCAGACGACGTGTTCAACGCCTTCAAGATCGTACTGCATTAATGCACAGCCGATTGCGAAATCGCTGGCATCACAGATCACATGAAATGGCCTGTCCTGATCAGCTATTGCTAGGAATGGGGATTGTATCAAGCTCTGCTTGATACCATCAAAGGAGCGCTGACATTCAGCGTTCCATAACCACCTCTCGTTCTTTTTCAACAAACGAGAGAGGTGCACAGTCATCTCGGCGTAATTGCGTGAATACTTATGCAAATACGCCGCTAGCCCAAGGAATTTTCGAAGACCTTTGACATCAACCGGCACAGGCCAGTCGGTGATCGCCTTGATCTTTTCGGGATCAGGACGTACACCGTTCTTACCAACGATGCACCCAAGAAGTGGTATTTGCTTGCTGCAAATATACACTTCTTGAGGTTTGCATACAATTGATGCTTTCGCATGATTGTAAGAACCTGTCGGACGTGGTACCTGTGAACCTCAACGTCCGACTTTCCATCCATAGCTCGGCTATGAATGAATACGTCATCGAAATAACTCGGCGCGAATTCTCGTACTGGTCTCAACATATGTGTATCACATCTGTTGAAAGTGGCAGGGGCATTACTAAGCCCTTGTGGCATTACTAGCCATTCCCAGAGCATGCCGCTAGGCGTGCTAACTGCGGTATAGGGTATATCCCGTTCTCGCATAAGGATTTGATAGAAGCCATCCATCAAATCCATGGACGAAAAGATGGTACTCTTTGACATACCATCAATGATTACGTCCTTCCTCAGTATCGGCGTCTGAGCCGGTAACGTTGCAGCGTTCAATTTGTTGAACGCGTGCACTATCCGCCACCCTCCTGTTGCTTTTCGCACACAGAAGGTCGGAGATCTATGTGGGGAAGTTGATCCCCTCACATGGACCGCAGCTAAACGATCGGCAAAGAAATTGTCGATCGCAAGTACTTGTTCACGAGGCAGTGGCCACTGCTTCATGACACAGTACTTCGAGCCTGGTTTAAGCTCGACCTCGTGTCGACTACCTTTATCCTTCGGTAATTCGCACGGAACAGTTTCAGGGAATACATCCTTGAATTCAACCAAATCTTCATAGGGAGGATTTGTCTTGAGCGATTCCCACGATTGGGAGTCATATCGCTCAATTCGTGTCTTTTCATCGAGGACACTCTCGTCCATAGATGAACTACTGAGAACTCTCTCGTTCTCAGTGAACACTGTTGCTGACCTTATGTCGGTTACACACTCGTCGTCAGCGACGAGTATGCAGATCTGCTTGACTTTGCCACTACGCAGATCACGCAAGAACCTTTTATGTTCGAGCGTTGGCAACTGAGTGATCTCCGAAGTCAACTTCGGAGGCGCAATCAGATGAAGTGTGTAAGCGCTTACACTTGATCCGTTATTGACTATGACATTCAATGTCTCTGTCATTTCCTGGGGACTTATTCCCTCAGGCCTCGAAGGACTTATTCCTTCGTCTTCCCGGGGACTTATTCCCGCGGGTTTCGGGGAACTTATTTCCGCCGTATTTGTAATCTTGGGACTTATTCCCTTTACTTCCTCTAGCTGGGGTTGCGCAACCACAGCGAGATCCTCTACGAAAGACTCTCCAGTCGATCTAGGATTATCGTTTCGCTTAACCTGAGCAATCGATTGTTTCTCTTCTAGATGTTCCCCGCTAGGGATACATCTTTGTCCCGGTCCACTCGACTTATTCGAGTGGTGGACCTTCAACGCAGCCTGTGTTTCCTCACAGCCGCCGGAACTTTGCTCCGAAGCGTAACCGTTTGGTACACTAAGGTTTTGTGCAGTCGTACTAACGACCGTACCACAAGTGAGGCCATCGCACTCACTCGTAGTACATCCACACGCTTGTGGACGCTCCAAAACGTTCATCAGATGGCCATCAGGTGAACAAGCGGCAGGCATCGTTAATGTTCGATGTTGCCAGTTTACCCGTGGTTCGTACCTTCTGAGCCACGGTATTCCAAGGATGACATCAAATTTGTCATCCAAATCCAATACGATAAAATCATCATCATATTGGGTATCTTCTAGCGTATAGTGGATCTTCACTATACGCTTCATGACGGTTACGGATGCGCCTGTCGCAAGACGTACCGTCATCCTCGTAGGAGGTATGTCACATTCAACAAACTTGAAGTGACCATCTTCTAGCGATTGGCGTCGCACAAAATTGTTGGACGCCCCACAATCGACTAGAGCTCGAAGGGACAACTTATTCGTCACTTCGGGTTTCAAGGTAATGAGTGAGACCTCATTACCTAGAGCAGCAACGCACAATGTTTGTGTGTTGGGAGCAACCTTCATTAAGAGGCCTACAAATTCTCTTGACGTTGCTGGACCAGTAGGGTGCTCCACACCTACTGATCCTGTCCGTATTTTGACGGTCTATCCCGTTGTTGCGTCTTTGCACCAACAGCGGACCCTCGTCCCTGCCCCTTTCTCATGGGTGGACGGTCACTACGCCCAGTGTCGCGAGACAATGGACGAGGGGCACTACACTCGTAAGCGTAGTGTCCTGTCTTTCGACATCTGTTGCATCTCTGCAACTTCTTGTAGTCTGTAGAGCGAGCCTTCTCGCTCTCTACATAACAGAGTTCCATCGGCTCTGAACCTCCGCTGTCATATCGTCTCGGTTGACGATATGATGTCGAGCTGGCGCGAGCCTGTCTCAGACTGAAGTCTTCCTGCTCCGCAATGGAAATGGCTTGTTCTAGTGAATCTAGTTCAAGCCGGAACAGGTGAGTCTTGACGGGACCATCCGCAAGACCCTGCATAAACACCGAAACCAACGTGTGTTCATCCACCGGATTGGAACTCATACAGCTCGTGAGATGTCGTATATGTTGCGCGTAAGCGTGCACATCACGCGTACCCTGCTTGAGCTTCAAGAGTTCGGTTCGAGCCCTGAACTCAGCTCTAGGCGGTTCCGCGACTTGAAGACTTCCAACGACTTAAACGCATATGGGTCGTGCAACTTGAGCCCCAGTGCCCAAGTCTTGGCACGTCCTGCCAGATTTGACTGGGCAAATGCAACTTGCATATCCCCGTCGTCGATGCGACGCGCCCTTATGGCGTCATCCAATTCGATGAAACATCTCAAGAGGAAGTCCTCTTCGACTCCATTATACTTGGAGATGTCAATCTTCAAGGTCTCGGGTCGACGCGAGTGCATCGACCCATCAGCAGCAGCCTGCTGCTGTCTCAACAGTTCAAACTGTTGAGCACCCTGTTCTCTCAACAACTCTGCTTGTTGAGAGCCTTGTCGGTGAAGCAAGGCTACTTTCTCGCGTTCAGCGTCAAGTTCATTTTGAATGAACTTGGCGATAGTAGCATGTTGGGCATCTCTATTGAGAGCCTCTAGCATGACGCTAACAGCATGGATGCCCATGGTTGAACCCATTCGTTCAACCGCATCCCATTCGACATCGCTCAAATGGGAGTAGCCGTCACGCGTAGCGTGAAAGCTTTGTTCATCTTCATCATCCAACATATTCATGTTGGATGTGAACGCGGTCCTTGGACGGACTACGAAGTGCTACCAGGTGTAACGGGGCACCCTGAAGCTTGTACTGGTGACAGTACAAGCTACTTATTCTGATGACAGAATAAGGCGGTGCCTCGTAACTTCGCGTACACTCGTACGTGCAGAGGAAGACGGTAAGAAGAAGCGAGTACTTGGTTAAAGTAAAAAGTAGAACTGTATTTATCACAGTTAATGTCTGTTAATAAACCACTGTTTATCCTCATCTAACTATGTCTAAATGCAAATGTGTAAATCAACTATCTGCTCACCACTCATTGCGTGCGTCTGTCGTGGCGCGTCTTCGTTGAATGATGTAATGGCCTATATCAACCAATTAGGAACTACTCGTAAGTGTGGTGCCTGGGATGTAATGCCTTGATGGAAAATACAAAAGTGATTGCATTAGGTCCTTAGTCCACACACAAGCTGCTACTCTAAGCCTTTTGGATTCCATGGATAATTCTTTCTCGATTTCAACTGGGACTAAACTCGATGGATTGCACAACGTGCTCTTATGCGGTCCGTCCGCAACCATTCTGGAGCGGGATTGTGCAACGTGCGCGTAGACGAAGTCAACCGCAATCATTCTGGAGCGGGATTGCACACCGTGTGCATAAACGACGTCGAAAGCCATTCTGAAACGAGCGCCTCCGCTACATCCTCCCTGAGCGGAGTTCGCGTTGGTGCATTAGGAAGTCTTTCACTAAATCGCGCCAATGAGTAACGTGTCTGATGTTTTTTTTTTTTTTTTTTTTGGTATACCAAAGACGTTGGAAACCCACGGTGAGTTTGAGACTTCTACCGAGCCTTTCTTAAGGTTCTCTGTCACGAAGGACTCGAGCGCTTCTTGATCCGTCTTGGACAGACGAAAGGGGGCTCGAGAGCTGGGAATGGCATCCGGTTTCATCTCAACTTCGAACTGCACAGCACGTTTCGGCGGGAGACCATCAGGAAGCGTTTCAGGAAAGACATCGCTATATTCCAAAATAAGATCATAAACCCAAACAGAGATGATATCGCTTGTGGGAACAGGGGATACCTTTACCATGTAAATCTCGGCGTATTCGTCTCGTCTCACATACAATTGTCGCGAAGGTCCACTTCGTACAGGGCTTAGATTATACTGATCTGGATGGGCCAACCCGTTCTCGTTCATACCATCTGAGTTAGCGTGAGCCTGTTGGTGTAAAATTTTACCGGAGATCCAGTCCACCTGCGGGGCGTACGTGCGAAACCACGGAAGCCCAAAAATGACGTCCTGATCAGCATCTAAGGGACTCTCCGTAAAAATCATGTGGGCAAATTCTATGTCACTCATCCGAACAGTTGCTTCAACTGTCGATAACTCGGCTGGCGGGGTTAGAGAGCCATCAAACCTCTTCAGCTGGCCCCGATGTTTACTGATGACTCGTGACGCAAGGCCTGGACGAATCACGTTGGTCGAAGCTCCACAATCCAATAAGATTGTCACTTGCACACCATCAATTAAACCGCGTTTACGCAGCAAAGTAGGCTGTTGATCGGCCAAGTGTACTTCAACAGCATTGATAGTGTATTGATCGAACACGATCCCACTTTCATCTTCTTCTTTTCTTTCTTGCACACTATCAATCATGCTGATTCTCACATTCGGTCGCGATGAGCTCTGTTTTCGTGGCCTCGTCGGACATTCTGCGAGTCGATGTCCTGGCTGTTTACAATAGAAGCACAATTTGCGCTGGAAGCATTCCTCCTTAGACACCACTTGCACATTATCAATTTCCGTAGGCTCTGGCCGGGCATCTTCGAAGCGCGGACGCGGCCTTATTTCTTGTCTTCGAAACGGCTGCGCGCGTCTGGCGGTCCCGACGCCAAAATGCGATCGCTCGAAGTCATAAGCAACATTGATCGCTTGACTTAAAGATGAGCATCGTCTATACTCGACTTCGGCGCGAGTTTGGTTCTTTAATCCCTGAGTAAAATAGAAAATGGAGTCGACATCACTCATATTTCGGACCTGAATCATCAGCTGTCGGAAGCGATTAACAAACTCCCCAAGGTCCCGGCATTGACCCTGATCCAGGTTTCGAAGCTGGTCACGGAGACGTATCTGAAGGTCTGCTGGTACGAACTCTTGCTCCAGATGAAAAAAGAGTTCATCCACAGTCGTGATCCTGCTTCTGGACCAAACAAACCATTCCTCTGCAGTGCCTACGAGCATGCTTCCAATGGTTGGAATGATTGTAGCTGCCATCGTCGCGCACTTCCAATTGACACGCCTCACGGTAAAGTACTGCTGTACTTGTTCTTTAAAAAGCGCAAACGATTCTTGTACTTGCCCTCCATACCGGGGAGCCTTCACTGCGTCCAAACGTAAGTCCTCAAGTGTTGTAGCTTCCGCAATCTTTCTCATCATTTCTTGTTGCTGCGACATCATCGCCAGCATGCTTTGCATGAGCTCAGCATTTGACGGCCCGCTCATGGCGTGCACAAAACTTATCGCCCAGCTGTTTTGCAGTCAGATCGGGGTCGGGTCGGGTTCAGGGTTTGCGTGTGGGTCGGGTCTTCAGACCAACAAGTGCTACCAGATGTGGTGCCTGGGATGTAATGCCTTGATGGAAAATACAAAAGTGATTGCATTAGGTCCTTAGTCCACACACAAGCTGCTACTCTAAGCCTTTTGGATTCCATGGATAATTCTTTCTCGATTTCAACTGGGACTAAACTCGATGGATTGCACAACGTGCTCTTATGCGGTCCGTCCGCAACCATTCTGGAGCGGGATTGTGCAACGTGCGCGTAGACGAAGTCAACCGCAATCATTCTGGAGCGGGATTGCACACCGTGTGCATAAACGACGTCGAAAGCCATTCTGAAACGAGCGCCTCCGCTACAGTAAGTGCTACAGAATATTTGTCCTTATGACAATATTCTGAGAATATAACTCTTATAGTTATATTCTATTAACAATTTCTTATAAATTGTTATGTAACGATTCACCCCGTTACAGCAAGTCGTCAAACGGTCGCTTGGGTGTAAAGCATTACATACCAAGTGGGGACATAAGACCAAGACAGATGCGCAAAAAAGATCGAGTGGTTGAAAACGCGACTTGTCGCTTGTGGGAACAAGAAAATTTTGGGAGTAGACTACAACTTGACGTTTGCGGCAAATATGGACCTAACCACCATCAAGGTCATCCTAGCTCTAGCTTCCACACGGGAGTGCCTACTAAGCATGGCAAAATTTTCAACATGTATGTCAAGGCGGATAAGGAGAAGCATACGCCGTTTTTTTTTATCCATCGCGAGGCACGAGTAATTCCTAAGAAACGCTTAAGAAGTACGATGCTGCAAGCGAAAGAGATTTGGTCCTGGAGATACATAAGAGCCTCTACGGGCTAAAACAATCTGGGCGACTTTGAAGTCAGCTGTTGCGCGCGCGTCTCGTCGAAGCATGTTTCCATCGCGGAGAACGTGACATGTGTTTATACTGAAAGATGGAAAGATCTCGTCGTCGTTGAAGTGAATATTGATGACTTTCTCGCTACCGGAACTAATGCGGCAGCTGTGGATCGTTTTTTGACAGCCTAGCATCTCTATAGATTAAAGACCTAGGGCTTGTCAGTAAGATTCCTGGAATGCGATTTAAACTTAATGGCAAAGGAGGCTACACTCTGGATCAGAAGAAGCTGCTCGGTGACCTTAGTCGTGGAAATTGACTAGAGAATGCAAATTTTACGCGTGCACCGATTGGCGGTGACTGTTACAAAGTGCAATTAAGGACGCATGTAACAGGGTAGCCCGGGACATAATAGAGACACCAAGCGGTGCCAATAGGGAGATTGTCTAGCATGACAGTATTCTACCAATATTATCCGAGATGGATAATATTCATGCGCTGCTTAAAGATTTGTTGATAAAAGACATACCAACCACAGATTACTACCAGTCGCTGCTGGACGCGCGCAATGAGTGGTGAGCAGGTTGTCGTCATACGACGACGTAGTTTAATATAATTAGACAAAGATTAAAGTTGTATTGATATCTGATCAATATTAAATACAGTTCTCTTATTAGCCGTTACTCAACATAGCTGTTGAGTAGATTAACTTTCTCTGCACGTGCTAGTGTACGTGAAGTTTCGTGGCACCCCGGACAAAGGGTGCCCCGTTACACCTGGTGGCACTTCGTAGTCCGTCCAACTACTACTTAGTGTCCGTCTAACATGAACACGTTGGACGTAGAAGACGACAGCTTTCACGTCTCACATGAAGGCTACTCCCATCTGAGTGACTCAGAATGGGAGGTAGTCGGCCGCATGAGTATGCTCATGGGAGAACCCGCCATCGGTGGCATGTTGGAGTCTCTAAGCAGAGGCCAGCAACATGATGCTATCAACAAGTTCCTACAAAGGGAACTTGCCGTCGAAAGGCAGAAGATAGCCTTGCTACAACAGCAGGGCTCTCATCAGTCGATGGGCGGGCCGAAGCACATGCGTCGACCCGAAACTTTGAAGATTGATATCTCAAGGTACAAGGGAACCGATGAATATTTCTCTTTAAGATGGTTCGTCGAGTTAGACGACGCCATCAGGGCCTATCGCATCGAGGGTGACGAGACGCAAGTCATCTTCGCCCTGTCAAATTTGACGGGACGAGCAAAAACTTGGGACTTAGGGCTCAAGCTTCACGACCCAAACGTGTTTGAGTCGTCGAAGATCTTGAAGTCTCGGCTTAAAGAGACGTTTGAGCCGCCGAGAGCCGGGTTCAGAGCACGCTCTGCACTCTTGAGGCTCAAGCAAGGTAAGCATGACGCGCACGCTTACGCACAGCACCTGCGCTACCTTGCGAGTAGCGTTACGGAGAACCCTGTTGATGAGCACACGCTCACCAACGTGTTCATCTACGGCCTTGTAGGTGGCCGGTGAAGACCTACTATTCCGAGAGGATTTCCATACGCTGGAAAAGGCGATAGCGTATGCGGAACAAGAAGAATTCAGCCTGAGACAGTCTCAGGCTAACTCATCAACCTATCGTCCGACAAGACGCGGGAAACAGGAGGTCCCGAACCAATGGACCTATGTTACATCGAGAGCAAGAACTTTCGCTCTCTGAGTCACAAGCGAACGGCAAGATGCCATCGCTGTCATAAGATTGGACACTACACTCAAGAGTGTAGTGTCTCGAGCTCTACAACACGTCCAAAGACAGGACGTGGTGACTACCGTTAGCCAAGGAAAGGTCCGAGGCGCGGGCCCGACCATGTCGCTAAGCCGCGACAGCAAGTCGGACCGTCAAAAAGCGGACAGGGTCAGTAGGGGCGGAGTACCCTGCTGATCCAGCAACGTCAAGACAAATGGCAGGACTCTTGACGAAGTTTGCTTCCGACACGCAGTCTCTCTGTGTTACTGCCCTTAGTGATGAGGAGTCTTTCATCACTTTAAAGATCGAAGTGAAAAGTGGAATGTCACTTTGTGCTCTAGTTGACTGTGGGGCGTCGAATAGTTTATTCGACGTCAGTCGCTAGGGGATAGTAGGCTCAACTATGTTGAGCGAGAGTTCCCTCCAACGGGGATGACGGTGTGACTTGCTACAGGCGCATCGGTAATAGTGAACAAACGTGTAGTGTGAATCCACTACAGGATATAAGGAAAGCAGTACGATGATGACTTCATCGTACTGGATTTTGATGACAAATTTGATGTCATCCTCGGTCTGCCATGGCTTAGAAAGTACCAGCTATAGGTTAGCTGGCAGCATCGATCCGTGAAAATGCCTGCGGTTCTGTCATCGGATGTCCATCTGATGAACGTCTTGGAGCGCCCACAAGCGTGTGGATGTACTACGAGTGAATGCGGTGGCCTCACTTGTGGTACGGTCATAAGTACGATTGCACAAGATCACAGTGTAGAAGGCCATTGCACTGTGGAACCAGCTTCCGGCACCTGTGTAGAGACACAGGCTGCGCCGAAGGTTCACCACTCGAAGAGACCGAGGGGACTATAACACGGATGCACACCAAGAAGGGTGCATCCAAAAAGAGAGATTAGTGCTGTTCAGGATAAACAACACGTTGAATTAAGATCGACTATCGGAGAGTCGATCGTAGAGCAAGCCCGATCGACTGAAAGAGAGTCGATCGTAGAGGACGACACCGTAATAGTACACTTACAGTCAGTACACGTATTGGAAGAAAATTCCGGCGTTCCTGAAAACGATGACTCTCGAGAGAGTTATGTTGATAGTGTGGATCCCCAACCACATGCGGATGTGTTTTCCCAGGAAATCACCTAGACAGTGAATGTCTTGGTGAATGACGGATCAAGTGTAGGCGCTTATACACTTGATCTGGTGACGCCCCCTGAAGTCAGCTTTGGAGGTAGTCAAGTTGCCAACGCTAGGATCGAAAAGAATTTTGCAAGATCTGCGTAGTGACAGGATCAAGCAGATCTGCGTACTCGTCACAGAGGACGGGTACGTCGCCGATATTCGGTCGGCACAAGTGTTTACTGAGAACGAACGGGTTCTCAGTAGCTCATCTATGTATTAGAGTGTCCTCGATGAAGAGACCCGGATTGAGCGATGCACGTCTCAATCGTGGGAGTCTTTGAAGACAAATACTTTGTGTAAGGATTCGGTCAAATTCAGGGATGTTTTCCCGGAATCCGTGCCATGCGAGCTGCCCAAGGACAACGGCACTCGGCATGAGATCGAACTGAAACCTGGTTCGAAGCACTGTGTCAGGAAGCATTGGCCACTGCTTCGTGAACAGGTAACAGCGATCGACTAATTCTTTGCCAATCGTTTAGCGGCTGGTCATGTGAGGGAATCAACATTCCACACAGCTCTCCGACCTTCTGTGTACGAAAGGCCACGGGAGGGTGATGGATGGTGCACGCGTTCAGCAAACTGAACGCTGCAACGGTACCGGCTCAAACGCCGATACCAAGAAAGGACGTCGTCATAGATGGTATGGCAAAAAGTACCATCTTTTCGTCCATAGATCTGATAAATGGATTCTATCAGATCCTCATGCGCGAACGGGGTACCCCGTACACAGCAGTGAGCACCACCAGCGGAATGCTCTGGGAGTGGCTAGTAATGCCACAGAGGCTAAGTGACGACCCCGCAACGTTTAACAGATGTGTTACTAATCTGTTCCGATCGGTGCGCGACTTCGCACCGACTTACTTCGACGATGTCTTCGTCCATAGCCGGGCTATGGATGGAAAGACGGACGTGGAGGCTCATAGAATCCACGTCCGGAAGGTTCTTACACTAATGCGAGAGCATAAGTTGTTCACGAACCTCAAGAAGTGTACATTCGCAGCGAGTGAAGTGCCACTTCTCGGCTGCATCGTGGGTAAAAACGGTGTACGCCCTGATCCGGAATAGATCAGGCAATTAGCGACTGGACTGCGCCAGTAGTCATCAAGGGACTTCGAAAGTTTCTTGGCTTGGCGGCGTACTTGCACAAATACTTGCGCAACTATGCCGAGATGACCGTACATCTCTCTCGTCAGCTAAAGAAAAACAAGAGGTGGTCATGGAGCGCTGAGTGTCAGCACTCTTCTGAAGGTATCAAGAAAAGCTTGGTGCAATCGCCTTTGTTGGCAATTGCAGACCAGGATAGATCATTATGTGTGGTCTGTGACGCAGACGATTTGCAATAGACTGCGAGTTAATGCAGTACGACTCAGACGGCGTTGAGCGCGTCGTCTGTTATCAATCGCGTCAGCTGCAAGCAGCTGAGCGAACTTACCCGGTGCATGACAAGTAATTCCTTGCCATGAAATATGCACTGGCTAAGTTTCGGGTACATCTCTTAGAAGATAGGCCCTTCATCGTTTATACCGACCATGCGTCGTTACGCACAGCCGTAAACAGTCCACACCTCTCGCAACGAATGGCGAGGTGGCTGTCTTTCTTCGCGGAGTACAACTTCTCCGTCGAGTATAAAACAGGACGACTTAATATCGTCGATGATGCTCTTTCGCGTCGGCCCAATTTCGAGCCGACTGCTCACCACAACAGTAGGGGTGATCCCACTGAAGCAACACTAATAGTGAGTATTCCGTCGTCAAATTTGCTCGACGACGTGCGAAGAGCATCCAAAGGAGACGAGTCGCTTCTGCGATCGATGGTTACATGTCTAATCCGTGCATTCAAGCTTTGAAAAGCTTGTCGTCTCAATACCACTCTTCAACCGAACGGTATTCTGTTCGTAATGGACTGCTGTACTATACAGCAGTCAACGGCGACACATCTCGTGTCCTCGTTCCCGCTCATAATAACCTGCGATTGCGCATCATGTAGGAGTGTCACGATGCCCTAAAAAGTGGGCATCGCGGTAGAGAAAAGACTTACCTCCCGGTAAGTCGTGACTTCTACTGGCCCCACCAGTATGAGTTTGTGTGCAATCACATTCGCGCTTGCGAAGTTCGTCAAAGGATGAAGCCTAGTCCTTCATCTCGCGCACCCTTGCAGCCTCTACCAATTTCAGCAGAGTGTTGGCAGTCCGTATCGATGGAATTCGTCTTTTAGTTTCCCAAAGACGTTCATAACCTAAAGTCGTTGGTAAAAGCTGGTAAAATACAAAGTGAATATATTTAGGTCCTTAGTTTAAAAACTCTGTTGCTACTCTAAGCCTACTTGATTCTTCAACTATACATTCCTAATCGCTATATTGCGCATTAATAATCTTCTAGTCGCACATTAGTAATCGCCACATCGCACATTACTAATCGTCTAGTCGCGCATTAGTAATCACCACATCGCGCATTACTAATCGTCTTATCGTACGTTTCTAATTCTGATCATGCGTTTCTAAACACCTAAATGTACCGAAAGTGGGAGACGTCACTGTCTGGCAGGACAGTGCTGGTGAACCCCAAACAACAGATCCCGAAGGCTTAACTTTATCGTTTGCACGCCCCACCGGTATCGAACCAGTGACCCTTGGAATGGTACTGCCATACAAACCGGCTGAGCTACAGAACACTTTTCTAAAACGTCATGCCAAGGCGTATCATTTACAACACTCCCACTCGCCTCGGCAGACCGTGGTTTCTTGATCCCCAGCATGTCCCGACGATATTCGAACTGCACAGTGGGGATCGGCTTCGTCGTGAGGTCTGCTTTCATGTTCTTCATAGCGCAGTACTGTAGCAACACTTGGCCGTCTGCAACCCTCTCGCGCACGAAGTGATACCGGATGTCGATACGCTTCGTTCTTTTATGGAACTCGGGGTTCTTGACTAACGCAATGGAACCTTGGTTATCTTCATAGATCTTGACTGCTTCGTCGTTCTATATTTCACCAATCTCACACGAAAATGCCTTGAGCCATACTGCTTCTTGTGTGGCTTCTGTCAACGCCATGTACTCGGCTTCCGTAGACGATAGAGCCACTGTACGCTGTTTCTTGCTTCTCCAGCTGATACACCCATTGTTCATCAGGAACGCGCATCCACTTGTGCTTCGTCAAGTTTCCACATCACCAGCCCAGTCTGCATCTGAGTAGCCTTGAAGCTTGTCATTGCTTGTGGCTTGAAATTCAATCCCATGGGTTTTTGTGCCTTGGACGTACCTGAACATGCGCTTGAGTGCTTGCCAATGTGTCGGACAAGGGTCCGCTACGAACTGGCTGAGCACTCCCACTGCAGCTGCGAGATCCGGGCGAGTCCCTACCATGAGGTACATCAGGCATCCAACAGCATTGCGATATGGAACATTTGCCATCGTGTATTCGTGCTTGCATCCTCCTTCGCACATGGACCTTGTCAGCTTTAGCCCGGGTTCTTGTGGAGTCTTAACTGGATTGCTATGTTCCATGCCAAATTTCTCGAGAATATCCTTCGCGATTTTGGACTGACGAATCGAGATTGTGCCAACCGTGAATTCTTGATCAACTTCCATACCGAGAAAATACTTGAGGTTTCCCAGATCCGTCATGTCAAAACGATCACCCAGCGCCTTCTTTGTTGACTTGAGCAGCTCGTCGTTGTTGCTCGCGAGAACCAAATCGTCGACGTAAAGTGCCACGAAAATCATGTCTTTATCCCGCACGTTTTCTTCTTCTTCTTTGTTGGAACACGATGAGTCTTCATCCGGTGAACCTTCTTCATCTTCTAGGATTACTTCGGCTTGAACGTAGTCGCGTCTTCCACTGTCGAAGACGTCTTCCATAAACTGTGCGTCGCGGCTGACCAGCACACGACCACTCTTGATCTCTTCAAATCGATATGCTTTCCCGTTAGACGCTTCGGGCGTCATGCAGAGTTTGAAAAGCCATTTGCCTTCGCGAGCACCGAGCTTCCACTTGACAACTTTCGTCTTCGCGAAGCATCCGTTGGTTTCGAAGGTGACTGGCCCGACGTCCTTGGTGAATCTACCCACGGAGAACAGATTACGCGATAACATCGGGATACACACGTCCGTGAGCACACCTTTCTTGGTACCGCGTGGCGTCTTCATTGACATCACGATGTCGCCTTTTCCGATCGCTTGAACGACACCATCGTCTGCCAAGTGCACATCGGCCGGATTGAAGACCTTGTAGTTCTTCATGAACTTCTTGGAACACGTCATGTGCTGCGTCGCACCCGAGTCGATCAGCCATACATTACTCGACTTGGCGACTTCACCACCAACCGAAAACAGATATTCACCAAGATCTTCATCTTGCGCACGTTTGCACGCTAAAATAGATGTCGTCCCGCGTCTTCTTGGATCCGCGAGGGGCACTACGCGTACCAATGTCCTTGTTTCTCACACTTGTGGCACGCACCAGTCTTCTTCACCGGTCGTCCGTTTTTCTTGTTGTCTCTTGACATAAACGCTTGGGCTTGAACATGCGCGGACCCCTCGACTCCGCCACCTTGCTCCTTGCGCTTCAGGTCTTCATGCATCAGCCGAGACGTCACTAATTCCCATGTCAGCGTGTCGGATCTTGACTCCAGCGCCGTTATCAGAAACTGATAGGACTCGCTGAGACTGGCCAAAACTGTGATGACCAAGTCGTCTTCGCTGACCGGAATACCAACCGCGTCGAGTAGCTCCGCCAGGGTCTTGAGCTTGTTGATATGCTTTAGCGCGTCATTACCTTCTCCCATCATTGTCGTGAAGAAACGGCGACGAAAAAGAGCTTATTGGCCAAGCTCTTCTTCTCGTAGTGTCCCTCCAGACGCGACCATGCATCATACGCGTTCTTCGACGAGCGCACTAGTGGAAACTGCGAATCCTCCATCGCGAGACAGATTATCGCCAGTGCCTTATTTTTTGCGCGACTTCCTTTTGAACGTTGCTTGGTCCAATGTCGTCACGCAGTGCTCAAGCTTCACCTCCCCACTCACGACATCCCACAAGTCGCGCTCCTCCAGCACCATCTGCATCTTGAACTTCCACGTATGGAAGTTTGTTCCGGCTAAACTGTTGATGCGGGCGGCGGTGGTGATCGACATGGCGTCCATGGCGAAGGCGTGGTCGAGGTCTTGGGCAGAGTCAGCGGGGTTTGGGCTCATAACCTAAAGTTGTTGGTCAAACCTGGTAAGATGCAAAGTGAATATATTTAGGTGCTTAGTTCACAAACTCTGTTGCTACTCTAAGCCTACTTGATTCTTCGACTATACATTCCTAATCGCTATATCGCACATTACTAATCGTCTAGTCGTGCATTAGTAATCACCACATCGCGCATTACTAATCGTCTAGTCGTACGTTTCTAATTCTGGTCATGCGTTTCTAAACACCCAAATGTACCGAAAGTGGGAGACGTCACTGTCTGGCATGACAGTGCTGGTGAACCCCAAACACCAGATCCCGAAGGCTTAACTTTATCGTTTGCACGCCCCACCGGTATCGAACCAGTGACCCTTGGAATGGTACTGCCATACAAACCGGCTGAGCTACAGAACAATTTTTTGAAACGTCATGCCAAGGCGTATCATTTACAACACTCCCACTCGCCTCGGCAGACCGTGGTTTCTTGATCCCCAGCATGTCCCGACGATATTCGAACTGCACAGTGGGGATCGGCTTTGTCGTGAGGTCTGCTTTCCTGTTCTTCATAGCGCAGTACTGTAGCAACACTTGGCCGTCTGCAACCTTCTCGCGCACGAAGTGATACCGGATGTCGATATGCTTCGTTCTTTTATGGAACTCGGGGTTCTTGGCCAACGCAATGGAACCTTGGTTATCTTCATAGATCTTGACAGCTTCGTCGTTCTTCATTTCACCAATCTCACACAAAAATGCCTTGAGCCATACTGCTTCTTGTGTGGCTTCTGTCAACGCCATGTACTCGGCTTCCGTAGACGATAGAGCCACTGTACGCTGTTTCTTGCTTCTCCAGCTGATACACCCATTGTTCATCAGGAACGCGTATCCACTTGTGCTTCGTCGAGTTTCCACATCACCAGCCCAGTCTGCATCTGAGTAGCCTTGAAGCTTGTCATTGCTTGTGGCTGAAATTTAATCCCATGGGTTTGTGTGCCTTGAACGTACCTGAACACGCGCTTGAGTGCTTGCCAATGTGTCGGACAAGGGTCCGCTACGAACTGGCTGAGCACTCCCACTGCAGCTGCGAGATCCGGGCGAGTCCCTACCATGAGGTACATCAGGCATCCAACAGCATTGCGATATGGAACATTTGTCATCGTGTCTTCGTGCTTGCATCCTCCTTCGCACATGGACCTTTTCAGATTTAGCCCGGGTTCTTGTGGAGTCTTAACTGGATTGCTATGTTCCATGCCAAATTTCTCGAGAATATCCTTCGCGATTTTGGACTGACGAATCGAGATTGTGCCAACCGTGAATTCTTGATCAACTTCCAAACCGAGAAAATACTTGAGGTTTCCCAGATCCGTCATGTCAAAACGATCACCCAGCGCCTTCTTTGTTGACTTGAGCAGCTCGTCGTTGTTGCTCGCGAGAACCAAATCGTCGACGTATAGTGCCACGAAAATCATGTCTTTATCCCGCACGTTTTCTTCTTCTTCTTTATTGGAACACGATGAGTCTTCATCCGTCGAACCTTCTTCATCTTCTAGAACTACTCTGGCTTGAACTTAGTCGCGTCTTCCACTATCGAAGACGTCTTCCATAAACTGTGCGTCGCGGCTGACCAGCACACGACCACTCTTGATCTCTTCAAATCGATCTGCTTTCCCGTTAGACGCTTCGGGCGTCATGCAGAGTTTGAAAAGCCATTTGCCTTCGCGAGCACCGAGCTTCCACTTGACAACTTTCGTCTTCGCGAAGCATCCGTTGGTTTCGAATGTGACTGGCCCGACGTCCTTGGTGAATCTACCCACGGAGAACAGATTACGCGATAACATCGGGATACACACGTCCGTGAGCACACCTTTCTTGGTACCGCGTGGCGTCTTCATTGACATCACGATGTCGCCTTTTCCGATCGCTTGAACGACACCATCGTCTGCCAAGTGCACATCGGCCGGATTGAAGACCTTGTAGTTCTTCATGAACTTCTTGGAGCTCGTCATGTGCTGCGTCGCACCCGAGTCGACCAGCCACACGTTACTCGACTTGGCGACTTCACCACCAACAGAAAACAGATATTTGCCAAGATCTTCATCTTGCGCCACGTTCGCACGCTGGAATCGATGTCGTTCCGCGTCTTCTTGAATCCGCGAGGGGCACTCCGCGATCCAATGTCCTTGTTTCCCACACTTGTGGCACGCACCAGTCTTCTTACCTGGTCGTCCGTTTCGCTTGTTGTCTCTTGACATGAACGCTTGAGCTTGCCCATGCACGGATCCATAGACTTCGCCACCTTGCTCCTTGCGCTTCAGGTCTTCATGCATCAGCCGAGACGTCACTAAATCCCATGTCAGCGAGTCGGATCTTGACTCCAGCGCCGTTATCAGGAACTGACAGGACTCGCTGAGACTGGCCAAAAGAGTGATGACCAAGTCGTCTTCGCTGACCGGAGCACCAACCGCGTCGAGTTGCTCCGCCATGGTCTTGAGCTTGTTGATGTGCTCTAGCACGTCATCACCTTCTCCCATCGTTGTCGTGAAGAAACGGCGACGAAGAAAGAGCTTATTAGCCAAGCTCTTCTTCTCGTAGTGTCCCTCCAGACGCGACCATGCATCATACGCATTCTCCGCCGAGCGCACCAGTGGCAACTGCGAGTCCTCCATTGCGAGTCAGATGATCGCCAGTGCCTTACGCGACTTCCTCTTGAACTTTGCTTGGTCCAATGTCGACACGCAGTGCTTAAGCTTCACCTCCCCACTCACGACATCCCACAGGTCTCGCTCCTCCAGCGCCATCTGCATCTTGAACTTCCACGTATGAAAGTTTGTTCCGGCTAAACTGTTGATGCGGGCGGTGGTGATTGGCATGGCGTCCATGAAAAAAGTGTGGTCGAGGTCTTGGGCAGAGTCTGCAGGGTTTGGGCTCATAACCTAAAGTCGTTGGTCAAAGCTGGTAAAATACAAAGTGAATATATTTAGGTCCTTAGTTCACAAACTCTGTTGCTACTCTAAGCCTTCTTGATTCTTCGACTATACATTCCTAATCGCTATATCGCACATTACTAATCGTCTAGTCGCGCATTAGTAATCACCACATCGCGCATTACTAATCGTCTAGTCGTACGTTTCTAATTCTGGTCATGCGTTTCTAAACACCCAAATGTACCGAAAGTGGGAGACGTCACTGTCTGGCATGACAGTGCTGGTGAACCCCAAACACCAGATCCCGAAGGCTTAACTTTATCGTTTGCACGCCCCACCGGTATCGAACCAGTGACCCTTGGAATGGTACTGCCATACAAACCGGCTGAGCTACAGAACAATTTTCTGAAACGTCATGCCAAGGCGTATCATTTTTACAACACTCCCACTCGCCTCGGCAGACCGTGGTTTCTTGATCCCCAGCATGTCCCGACGATATTCGAACTGCACAGTGGGGATCGGCTTTGTCGTGAGGTCTGCTTTCATGTTCTTCATAGCGCAGTACTGTAGCAACACTTGACCGTCTGCAACCTTCTCGCGCACGAAGTGATACCGGATGTCGATGTGCTTCGTTCTTTTATGGAACTCGGGGTTCTTGACTAACGCAATGGAACCTTGGTTATCTTCATAGATCTTGACTGCTTCGTCGTTCTATATTTCACCAATCTCACTCGAAAATGCCTTGAGCCATACTGCTTCTTGTGTGGCTTCTGTCAACGCCATGTACTCGGCTTCCGTAGAAGATAGAGCCACTGTACGCTGTTTCTTGCTTCTCCAGCTGATACACCCATTGTTCATCAGGAACGCGTATCCACTTGTGCTTCGTCGAGTTTCCACATTAAGCCCAGTCTGCATACGAGTCGCCTTGAAGCTTGTCATTGCTTGTGGCTTGAAATTCAATCCCATGGGTTTGTGTGCCTTGGACGTACCTGAACATGCGCTTGAGTGCTTGCCAATGTGTCGGACAAGGGTCCGCTACGAACTGGCTGAGCACTCCCACTGCAGCTGCGAGATCCGGGCGAGTCCCTACCATGAGGTACATCAGGCATCCAACAGCATTGCGATATGGAACATTTGCCATCGTGTATTCGTGCTTGCATCCTCCTTCGCACATGGACCTTTTCAGATTTAGCCCGGGTTCTTGTGGAGTCTTAACTGGATTGCTATGTTCCATGCCAAATTTCTCGAGAATATCCTTCGCGATTTTGGACTGACGAATCGAGATTGTGCCAACCGTGAATTCTTGATCAACTTCCAAACCGAGAAAATACTTGAGGTTTCCCAGATCCGTCATGTCAAAACGATCACCCAGCGCCTTCTTTGTTGGCTTGAGCAGCTCATCGTTGTTGCTCGCGAGAACCAAATCGTCGACGTAAAGTGCCACGAAAATCATGTCTTTATCCCGCACGTTTTCTTCTTCTTCTTTGTTGGAACACGATGAGTCTTCATCCGTCGAACCTTCTTCATCTTCTAGAACTACTTTGGCTTGAACGTAGTCGCGTCTTCCACTATCGAAGACGTCTTCCATAAACTGTGCGTCGCGGCTGACCAGCACACGACCACTCTTGATCTCTTCAAATCGATCTGCTTTCCCGTTAGACGCTTCGGGCGTCATGCAGAGTTTGAAAAGCCATTTGCCTTCGCGAGCACCGAGCTTCCACTTGACAACTTTCGTCTTCGCGAAGCATCCGTTGGTTTCGAAGGTGACTGGCCCGACGTCCTTGGTGAATCTACCCACGGAGAACAGATTACGCGATAACATCGGGATACACACGTCCGTGAGCACACCTTTCTTGGTACCGCGTGGCGTCTTCATTGACATCACGATGTCGCCTTTTCCGATCGCTTGAACGACACCATCGTCTGCCAAGTGCACATCGACCGGATTGAAGACCTTGTAGTTCTTCATGAACTTCTTGGAGCTCGTCATGTGCTGCGTCGCACCCGAGTCGACCAGCCACACGTTACTCGACTTGGCGACTTCACCACCAACAGAAAACAGATATTCGCCAAGATCTTCATCTTCCGCCACGTTCGCACGCTGGAATCGATGTCGTTCCGCGTCTTCTTGGATCCGCGAGGGGCACTCCGCGATCCAATGTCCTTGTTTCCCACACTTGTGGCACGCACCAGTCTTCTTACCTGGTCGTCCGTTTCGCTTGTTGTCTCTTGACATGAACGCTTGAGCTTGCTCATGCACGGATCCATAGACTCCGCCACCTTGCTCCTTGCGATTCAGGTCTTCATGCATCAGCCGAGACGTCACTGAATCCCATGTCAGCGAGTCGGATCTTGACTCCAGCGCCGTTAGCAGGAACTGATAGGACTCGCTGAAACTGGACAAAAGAGTGGTGACCAAGTCGTCTTCGCTGACCGGAGCACCAACCGCGTCGAGTTGCTCCGCCAGGGTCTTGAGCTTGTTGATGTGCTCTAGCACGTCATCACCTTCTCCCATCATTGTCGTGAAGAAACGGCGATGAAGAAAGAGCTTATTAGCCAAACTCTTCTTCTCGTAGTGTCCCTCCAGACGCGACCATGCATCATACGCATTCTCCGCCGAGCGCACCAGTGGCAACTGCGAGTCCTCCATTGCGAGTCAGATGATCGCCAGTGCCTACGCGATCTCCTCTTGAACGTTGCTTGGTCCAATGTCGACACGCAGTGCTTAAGCTTCACCTCCCCACTCACGACATCCCACAGGTCTCGCTCCTCCAGCACCATCTGCATCTTGAACTTCCACGTATGAAAGTTTGTTCCGGCTAAACTGTTGATGCGGGCGGTGGTGATTGGCATGGCGTCCATGAAAAAAGTGTGGTCGAGGTCTTGGGCAGAGTCTGCAGGGTTTGGGATCATAACCTAAAGTCGTTGGTCAAAGCTGGTAAAATACAAAGTGAATATATTTAGGTCCTTAGTTCACAAACTCTGTTGCTACTCTAAGCCTTCTTGATTCTTCGACTATACATTCCTAATCGCTATATCGCACATTACTAATCGTCTAGTCGTGCATTAGTAATCACCACATCGCGCATTACTAATCGTCTAGTCGTACGTTTCTAATTCTGGTCATGCGTTTCTAAACACCCAAATGTACCGAAAGTGGGAGACGTCACTGTCTGGCAGGACAGTGCTGGTGAACCCCAAACACCAGATCCCGAAGGCTTAACTTTATCGTTTGCACGCCCCACCGGTATCGAACCAGTGACCCTTGGAATGGTACTGCCATACAAACCGGCTGAGCTACAGAACGCTTTTCTAAAACGTCATGCCGAGGCGTATCATTTACAACAAAGAACACTGGTCTTCTTGTGTTTGTTGATCGGTTCAGCAAGAAGGTACATCTTGTTGCTGTACTGGAGTCAATCACATCCCAGGGATGTGCGCGTGTCTTCATCAGTACAATCTTCCGATTTCACGGGTTACCCTGTGAACCCTTGTCCGATAGAGACCCCCGCTTTCCGGCGGAGTTCTGGCAATCCGTGTTCCGTTCACTTGGAACACATTTGACGATGTCAACTACTGACCATCCAGAAACAAATGGTCAGACGGAACGCGTCAACCGCATCCTCGAAGAGATACTTTGAGGGTATGTCCCATCGTTTACGAGCTGGAGCTAGTTCTTGCCGATGGCGGAATTCGCCATCAACAACTCGATGCACGCGTCGACAACGCATACACAGTTCTTTGTGATTGGCCTACGCCATCCACGTTTACCATCCTTCTTAGAATGTGAGTCTAGTTTAAGGGGGGCGGACTCACTCGAACAAAAACCGATCTGGTTCTTTCTCATCACCCGTAGACAATGGTGTCGACGTGATGGATGCCGATGTCGATGCGATCGATATCGATGATGATGATGATGACGACGATGCTAGTATAATCAGCATCGCCAACGACTCCCACAGTGAGGACGATGACGCCCTCACTGGTGAAGACAAAATTCTTTCAGCAGTTCACACGAAGCGCATTGCTGTTGACAACAGGATGTAGTTAGCAGAGAAATTTCTGCTGACTCGCGAAGCGGTTGTCCGCTTTGTTCAAGACTCTATTGCAGATGCAGTAGACAGACAGAAAAGAAACGCAGATAAACATGGTAGAGCGAATGTTCTTTCATTTCATGAAGGAGATTTAGTTTTACTGTATTCAGTAAATCTATTAAAACACACAGTGACAAACGTGGGCAGCAGTAAATTACTGTCCAAACATATCGGTCCATTTCGTGTGTTGCGCCGAATGGGCGACGCATAAACGATTGAAATGACCCGTAAGATGCGTACGCATCCTACGTTTTACGTCGGTCGTCTCCGCCCGTACTATCAGTACGAGGCCCGTTTCGAGAGGCGAAAAATACCTCCGCGGTCGAGAGCCGAGGCCACCTTCGAGTGGTCCCATTTCAACGATCCAGTCTGGTCGACTAGCGAAGCGACCTGTTCACGCAGTTGGGCGATGTCTCGACGAGCAGCAGCCAGCTCGTCACGAAGAGAACGAATCGAACGATCGTTCTCAAGCTGTGCGAGCGCAAACACGGCACGATCGTTCGAACGATCGTGCGCTAAGGAATTGTAAAAATCCCTTACAAGATCCTGAAGCTCATGACGATAAGCCCGTTCATGATACAGGTCATCTTGTAACTGATCGGTTACACGGTTCAGCTCCTAAACAGCAAGCTAATCCAACCCTCGAGCCGTAACAGGTGTTCCCGCCACCACCACATCCTTTGGTGGACTCAGAGCGGTGGTCAACGCTTCCTAGTGGAGCGTTATTTGAACCACCGCGACATGAATGGCGTCCGGACGAGCTACCTCGTCCGATGGCGTGGCTATCCACCGGCCTGGGACAGCTGGGAGCCTCGTGCCCAGCTGATTGTTGATGTCCTTCGTCTCGTCGAGAAGTACGACGAGACCCACCCGCTGCGTTTGAAGAAGGGCCGTCGGAAAACGACCTCCTTGAACGCGAGTACAGGGATTGAAAAGCGTCGATCCCTTCGGCCATCTCAGAAGAGATGCGCGCCCTCCAGTAGGGATCAGTAGGGAGGTAGGCCTCCCTAGGGGCATGATTCGAGTTTTCCATGCAACCTGGACCCGAATCACCCCACGAGAGACAGGGTAATCCTGCCTCTCTTGAAAGCCGGTGCAACTTGTATCGCGCCCCGACGGGGTTGCGTTTGTTAAACCTGATGCGAGCTGCACAAGTTTACCGAGCCAGGCCTCACGGCCAATGCATTCGATGTTACGGATGAGGGCATTCCATCCCTGCACCAAGGCTATGCCGCCTCGAACACGGCTGCCATTGTACCACCGATGTTTCGAAAAACGCATCGGCGAAGAATTCTTCCTCAGCAAGGGATATTTTTCGTGCTGGAATCAGGAGGGCAAATCCTCCTACAATCGAACAACGGGATTCGATCCCGTTCGGTAGTCGTGCCGGCCAACCGGTCCAACTCCTTGGATGACGGCATCCACGGAGACTCCACTTGAGGAGCGTGGCGCAGAACATTTCGGTCCCTGGCCTCTTGATTGGTGCCAGCGTGAGCACTGGCACCAATGATACCCCGATCCCTCAAGTTACTTTGCTCGTGGTGATGTATAGGTGCATCACCACCATCCCCACGCGTCCTATCGTTGGATGGAATCGCGTGAGGTGAGGATTCGTCGGAACAACCGCTCGATCCGAATATCTCGAGCATGATGCCGCCACGTTCACCAGAGCCAGTCAACCTGGATCTTGCAGTGTCCGCCCCGGATGATCCGGAGGCGTGAGGAGTCGCCTTCGAGTCGGATACATCATCCGACTCGCCAGAATAGATGAGATCTATTTCAGACTCATCTGGATTACGATTCGCGGTACCCGCTGCCGACGCAGTGGATGTACCTGTCGCACGTGGAGACTCACCACGTGGACTGTTCACAACAACAGGCGACGAATCACCTGCTGCTAAGGTGTGAGAGGCACTTTCCGGTTGCACGCATGCGTGCAGCCGCTCATCTTGCTGCTGCGGTAGCAGCTCGAGTGGATTTTGAAACCTTGCGTTGGATTGGCAAATGATTGGAATTTGACCAACAAGTGCCCCCTTTCCCAGAGTGATCCAACGGTGGTCACCCTGTCCCAATCAATTCTAATTCAACCAACGGTTGATTGATGGTTGAGGGGGGGGGTGATGTAACGGGGTAGCCCAGGACATGATAGTGACACCGAACGGCGGCAATAGTCTAGCATGACAGTATTCTAACAATATTATCCGAGATGGATACTATTGAAGGAATGTTATCCCCTTTTAGGATAATATTCATGCGCTGCTTAAAGATTGTTTGATGAAGACATACCAACCATAGATTACTACCAGTCGCTGCTGGACGCGCGCAATGAGTGGTGAGCAGGTTGTCGTCATACGACGACGTAGTTTAAAGTAGTTGGATAAAGATTAAAGTTATATGGATAGCTTATCAATATTAAATGCAGTTATCTTATTAGCCGTTACTCAACAAAGCTAGTTGAGTAGATTACCTTCCTCTGCACGTACTAGTGTACGTGAAGTTTCGTGGCACCCAGACAAAGGGTGCTTCGTTACAGGACAAGTCCAACAGGAAGTCGATGACCGGTGGAGTGCTGCGCCTAGATGGGATGGCAGTCAGTTGGGGTGCTCGTAAGCAAAGTGTCGAGTCGTTATCGATTGTGGAGGCCGATCTTGTCGCTGCCTCAGAGATGGCGCGCGAAATGCTCAATCTCTGTGAGATGCTCAGCGAGGTCGGTATTGTACCAGCCTTGCCGATGGAGCTTCACGTCGATTTTCAAGCAACATTTAGCCAGATCGCTGGTGAGGCATCGTCGATCAAGTCAAAGCATGTCGACATTCGATTCAAATTCCTGTGTAATTATTCGTGTTGGAGCAGAATCAATGCGTCTTATCTGAGGTCAGATCTAATGCTAGCCGACCTGATGACGAAGGCACTTAATTCTACTAAGCTCGTTGCTTTTCTCAAATTAATGCATATCGGCTAATTAGATGGCAAGTATGGCCAAGGACGCACATGATGATCAAGAGGTTTTCAAGAAAAGATGGTCAAGGAAACCAGGGGGATCAAGAGGTGTTCAAGTAAAAAGGAAAAAGATAGAAGCACGAAGGCGCACTCGAGGAGGAGTGTTGGAAGGTGAGTGTTGAAGTGACAGACTGGGTTGTCGTTGTTACGAAACGGTACCGGATTCTACGATTAGCCCAGAAGTACTTCGCCTATACATAGCGAAAGTAAGATGATGGTAGGTAGCGTTGACCCGCAGCCAACCGTTTTGGAGATGTTGGGACAGAGAGACCTAGGCGACAAAAGTGGCTAGACTAATAATAAACAGAATCTTATCTTCATCTAAAAGCGCTCAACCATTTTAATTTCTACAGTTAGTACGGCTAAAGAGTGCTAATCATGCTAATATACTGACGATAGGTCATGTCTGTTGGTTTGCAATTGCAGGGATCGGCGGTTGGCCGGATCGTGTGTGAGCACGTCATTGTCGGGAAATAAAACCTGATAAAACCTGATTTTGGAAATTCGCAGACTGTCGGGTTTTATTAAAAACCAATAAAACCAGATTGTAAAAAGAATACTTGGTGCCAGTCCTGCCCTTTACCCCTTACCACTGATTTTACCGTTTTACCGGGTTACGAAGGGTATCTCTGGGTATCTCTTATCTTACCTTGCCGAGGCCTAACGTGGACGTTCGAATGTAGCAATCTCTAACCTTACCTTGCCGAGGCCTAACGTGGACGTTATAATGTAGCAGATTAGTAATTATGACGACATTTGTCAATCTTACAAGCCCTCGGGCCTCTTAGTACCCATTCCAACTTAAATTGACCGACTTCTTTTCTGCAGACATCGGTCATCTCAAGTCAACTTTAAGATCGAAGGTACATCGCGGAATTTCTAGGCTTTACCAAGATGTGACCATCATCAACCTGCAGGAATCCACGTCTGCACATACAAAAAAGGCCTCATAATCAAGTTAGGAGAAAGGCATGAAGCACGAGAAATCCGATGATACGTCTGTCACCCGGACACTACGATGTCTAATTAAGCTCACAAATCACGAACTTTAATTTTGCGAGCTCTTGCCCGAACGCCCTACTACACCAAGTACGAAAAAACCGCTCGTCTAGCTCTTGTGAAAAGAAAACGACAATCCACGCTCAACTTGGCGCGAAAAAAAAAGTGACCGGTATTCATCCTGTGCACCACACCACATCCCACCATCATTCTTCTAATCGTACGTACGCGGGCACCTCCCATCACCCACTCGCGCGCGTCTTGCCACTGCGCGCGCTCAGTTTGAAATCTCACCGCTGAACGAGAGACATTCACTCTCGCTCGAGTCGACCTTCACTCTCGCCTTCCTTCTTGCTCCTCTCAACGTGAAACGCAATGTCTTTATCCGCCGCAGCCGCTGCGAACCCGCACCACACGCTACAAGCAGCGCCACCCCAAGCTTCCCCCGCGCTCCCCTCGTCGTGCACCGCAGCCGCGCGTCCCCGTCGTCGCCGACGCAGCAGCCACGGCCCGTTACAAGGCGTGGTCGCGATTGTTGACGTCCGTGTCGGTGCCGACGCGCAGATCGATTGCAGCGACGTCGTGGCTCGGAAACTGCGGGAGCTCGGGGCGTGCACCGTGAAGCGCTTCACGCCCAAGCTCACGCACGTGGTGCTGAGCCACTTGACGCCCGTGTGGAAGGCCAAGATCGTCAAGTGGCAGACAGGAGGAGGGAGCGGCGCTTCTGCTGTAGCTGCTGCTGGTGTTAGTAGAGGGACGCGGTACGAGCTGCACATTGTGTCGCAGCTCTGGGTGAACGCGTGCTACGTGAGCAAACAGAAACGGGACGAGCGGTCGTTCTTCCCCGTGCGGCAGCAGCAGCACGTGGTAATGGACCGGCAAGGGACAAGTGGAGCGGCGGCGACGCTTTTGATTGGACGAGAAGCAGGACCGCAGCAGCAAAAACAGCGTCGACGAGGCCGTCCGTCGTTGGGACAAAACGAGACGCTGAAGCTTGGAAAGGGACGGAATGTGGTGGTGCTGCCGCTACAGGACAACGAGGAACGAGAGAAGGCGAGCGGAAATGGAGGAGAGAAGAAGGGCTTGGATTATGTGGCAGTGGATCTATTGACGCCGTCTCCTGTAGGTCGTTCCAAGGTGAACAAGACGCTGCAGAGAGGTAAGAGAAAAATGCGCGCGCACTCGATGGAGCCACTGGCGTCGGACGCAATTTTGAAATTACTGGGGGACAAGGAGTCAGTGGCTGGAGGGGAGGAGATTATTAGTACACCAGTAAAGCAAATGATTCGATCGAGATGCAAGACGTCGTCGGTAAAGCGGAGAAAGACGTTGAATGGACCACCGACGCAGCAGTATGAAGACGATGTGACGGCATCCCAGGCACATGGGATTGAAGCAGAGAGTGCTATAGAGATTGACAAGAAGAGCGGAATGGTGGAGGAGAGCAATCTTGACGGTGTTGTGGTACCGGACTGCCAAGCTAGTCTCTGTTTATCTGGTGCGAGTTCTGCTCTTACCCCGGATGGCAAAGAACTTGGGGCTGGCAGTACGCCGGGAGACAGCAGCAAGAGTCCGAAGAGAACAACAGCACGAGAATTGCGGCGTCGCAACAGGACTTCGCTTTCGTATGGCAGCGGACTAACTCTGAAAACGGGTATCTGGTCATGTGCTGCATGCGGCTGCTCGAATCCTCGCACGCATCGATGCTGCACAGATTGTCAAGGCTTGAAGGGAGTCGCAAAATCTACAAGCGTTGGTAGTATCGATCCCGTGTCACCCGTTGAGATTGCAAGCACAATGGCAGATGTACCTAAAGCACATCTTGCGACGTCTACAAGCACATTGGCGAATGTGACTGATGCACCTCCCGTGACCCCATCAACTCCTGCTACACCAGTATCAACGACTCCGAATCTTACTGAAGCAATAAGATTGTCAACTTTCGCTATCAAACTCAAGAGGTCTAGCAGCTGCCTATCCGTGCCCGGACGGAACTCATGGTCGTTGACTCGACCAACTGCGAGCTCAGCTGCAAAAGCCCGTACTCCAAGTCCGTCAGCATCCAAAGTTCCGCGGGCGGTACTGAGGTCTTCAGCTTATGGTACCGGAACGTGTGGCGGGACTTTGAGCCCCGCCACTCGAGTCTCCACGTCGAAGCATACGAATAGGAGAGCCTTAGTAGCAAATGCTTCAATCTCGACTGTCGCACGAGTGCAGCATTCTGTAGCAGAAAAGGCACTGCTAACGACAGGTGCGATGAAGCTCATGCAGGGCTCTGCTAAAAAGCGTTCTCGTCCGCCATTCTCCAGCAATTTATTGACAACCCCAGTCGTGAAAAAAGCGCGACGGAACATAAACACGGAAGACTTAACAATGGACAAGCACTTGGCAACTCCAGGCTCAGTGTCGGGATTTCTGAAGAAGCATCGGGACGTGAATTTGGCTCCAATTTCCATGGCTATGAGTTTTTCCAGTACAATCAATTCTCAGAGGCCTGCGCGCAGTGTAATAGGTATAACTGGAGTAAGCGCAGAATTACGCGGAGTGCTGGAGTGTGCAATTCACGCCATAGATGCCAACATGACAAATGACACTGGGTACCGAAAGGCACGCATGGTGAAAAGCGTGGATTACGCGGCTGGAGTGACCCACCTTATAGTTGGCAAAGGCGCAAAACGCACCATTAAAGTGCTTTTCGCCATTGCTCGTGGAGCCTGGATTGTATCAGAAGACTGGGCATTTTCGTCCCTTGAACAAGAGCGGTGGTTGCCAGAAGAAGATTTTGAGCTGACGATGTTTGCAAACAAGTACTCGCGTGAGCATCCGGAGTCTCGGCAGAAATTTAAGGGGATGAAGTTTTTTGTCGGCCCAAATGTTGAGCCATCGCGCGAGGTTCTTCAGTCGCTCATTCAAGTTGCAGGTGGAGAGGTGAGCTGTTAGATCATGCATTATATTGACTGTGCGCATGGATGCTAATTCATGCTGTCTGTTGCTTGTTTGTGTTGCCAATTGTACCACAGATATGCAATCAGATTTCAGTGGCAGATGTGTGTATCTGCGGCGATGCCTCACTGTTTCGACGAGCCCGGAGGACTGGCATTCAAGCTGTTACCTCGAAGGTGCGCAAAGGCCATAGCGAAATGTGCTCAGTACCTGAGATTTCTAACGTTTGTTTCTGGTTTTTGATACCAAATGGCAGTGGGTATTCGACAGCATCGCAGCAATGAAGCTTGAAGATGAGGCAAAATACAATTTTACAGTGCCTATGGACGTCCTGGCGAAAACTCCACTTAAAAGCCGTCAAGATGTGGCCTCAGGGCTAGAAGCTCACTCTACGGTGCCAGAATGAAGCAACGATGGACAGTATCGTCTGAAGCAACGATGGATACGTTACGGTCCGGTACGCGTGTAATGTGTTCCAGTGTTGCAAGCGGCATTTTCAACAGAAGAATTTGCAGTTGTTTCAAGGAGAGCAGCTGGAGTAGCGCACGAGAATCTGTGTCCACATCACATGACCCATGGCAACACATTTGACCGTGTTTACATCGTTTACTCATTGCAATGACAGAGAGCACTGTGTGAAGCGAAACGAGTAGGCGACGAGGAGCACGGTTTTACGACAAGTAAATGACAGAACTACCGCCAAATTTACACATTGCAAATTCACATGATGTATTCACTAGTTAAGTGATGAGAGCAGCGGCAGCAGGGTCGACAGCAAGAGGGGCGGCGGCAGGAGGGAGGCTACCAGGGGCGGTTGGTTTAGCGCCTGCAGGGTCCTTAGGGGTGGTTGATGTAGTGCCAACAGGGACGGTTGGTTTGGCAGGGGCGACTGGGCCGGTTGGTTTAGCAGGGGCGACAGGAGTAACTGGTTTTATAAGAGATTCGCTTGAGCGAGCCTCTTCTTCAGTCGCGGGAGGATCAGTGGCCGGAGCCTCAGCACTAGGAGGAGCAGGGGGGTTACCTGAGGCAGCATGGACGGTACCAGGGTCGATAGGGGTTTTGAGGTCAGCAGGTTTGGTGGGAATGGCAGGCGTAGAACCAGTCTTATCGTCAACCGCGGGAGGCGAACCCACCGGAGTTTTCGCGTCTTCAGCAGGAGGAGCGGCAGGCAGAGGTACATTCTCATCCGAGTCGCCCGATGAGTCACGGCTTTTCTCCTTGTTCTCGTCGTCCTCTGACTCATGTTCATCGTCGTCGTCATCACTGCCGCTCGATGAAGTTGAGCTGCCCTTTGCCGTTCCATCACCACAGGTGCCGGTCGAGTAGTCGACAGCCCAGAAGTGCACAAGCCTCTTGGTCCTGTCAAATGCGTAGCCGGGACCCATGACATTGCAGTCGCTGAGCAGCGTGTTATGGGCATGGTTGGTCTCGGCCCACGCAGCGACGATAGTCGATGCAGTTTTATATCCACCCCCCACGGTTTCCGTCACGTTGTTGTCCACAAAGCCGGACTTAAAAGCCCGAACATCGGGCACCGTGCCGTTCAGGCTCGTACTATTGACGAAGTTGTGTTCCGCCATGTCGTTCGCATGATCCTGAGCCGCATACATGAGCTTATTGTTGATGCAAAGCTCAGGCAGCTTGTGAGTCTTCCGTACGGCATTGATCTCGTTCAGCAGTTCCTGACGAAAGTTGACAGCCTGCAGGGTCCGGTGGTGTGAGTCTGCATGGAAAGCGCTTGCGGTGGCCATGGCAGCCACGCTGGCGATCACTAGAGCACTAGGAATGCTGACCATTATCTTGCTGGTTCTTGTTGTGCTCGTCAAAGCGGCAAAAGGCTAAGAGGACAGGGCAAGGTGGTGCTCTGTATGCTGCTGTCGGTTGTCGATTCAGCGAGTGTTGATGGGCCGTAGACCGATTGCAGAATGAAGTCGAGAGTCCGCAAAACCAGTTCAGCAACTCGGCTGGACGTCAAGACAGCCAACGCATTGGCAAAGCTGAGGATAACTGGAGGATTGGAACATGCTTTTCTATGCTACGGCAAACCAGCACACACGCATCGAGCCGGTACAACGTGAGGAGGTCATGGTAGGAGCCCCAATCTCGTGACCAGCAGATCCCGCAACTATGAATGGATTTCGGCTGCATGTAGGAGAAAGAGACATGGAGGAGTAAAAAGTCCTCGTTCTGGACTGCATGCAAACAGACACGACAATGGGGAATACTAGACTTTTAGAAGCGAGTAGATGGTCCAGCTGTCTACTATGGGATCACCTGGTCGCGCATCAGAATGCTACTATGAAACTGCTCCACTATGCGAAGCAGTGCAATGTCACACGTATCAGCTAATGCGCGCAACAATATTGATGCTGATACCATCGAGCTGTAATGTTTTGTAGTAAGTGAACGGTAGAAGCTTCGAATGTATAGGACCCGCCACTTCCCAATCCGCGGCTTCGAGCAATAATAGCCAAGCGACAAAGACCTTTAAAGAGCCGGGCAATCGGCCCCCTGACCCTGGGTGGGAAGCCCTTTATCGTGGGACCCAAATTAAAGGGGGGGGCTTCTTGCCGCTGTGTGCGCTACGGGAGGCAGCGCAGCGTGCAAACCGAAAGGGGTGCAATAAACCGAGACGCCCCGAGCTGAGGGGTACAACAACAGCGGTTGTCACCCCCACCCGGTACATACTATTCAACTTCAGCCTTCGAGTTGCCGGCCGGGTCGCCGAGCTTGACTTTCGAACCCACAAAGTGAACTCGCCTAGAACGTGGCCCAGTCCAGGTGCGTCAGCGGCCCATCGGGGGCTATCGGTCTAGTGTAGGCAGCAGCATCCCGATATCATAAAGGGCATAAGCACTTAATCGACGTTCAGGATTTACTGCATGTGTAGGACCCGTGACGTCTCGGCTCATTTGTGGTTTGCCAGGCAGGTTGTAAGTTGGTACCGGAAGCAATGTAAAGGGTCTGACGGCAGAGGTCAAATCTCGTGGTGGACAGGTGCGATCGTGGTGTGCAGGCTCGTTTTTGTGAGACCAGAGACTTTTGTGCCACGAATTTGCCGACATAGAGCTCGGTTGTCGCTTCGATTACAGCACAAAATAGACGTCCTATCCAGAAGCTCAACTTCTTTTCGGGTGAATGCCACGACTAGCGTCAAGTTAAACCGTTCAATTGACAGGTTGACTGCAGTACTATCGGACTTCAAATAAAAACCGTCTCGTCTCGTCGGCAGCACGTTTCATTCATCATTGACAACGCTGCGATTTCAATTTGCAACCTGCCACCACACTCGGGCTTTCCGACATGGTAGACATTCGGCACTGATACAACACTATCGGGCAGCAAATCTATGAAAACTACGCAAACGAGGCTAGCAACCGCCACGTTGCACCGCCACATAAGCAATCATCCATCCCTCTTGCTGGAGTGGTGCTAGCGCCACATTGTACAAGCGTTTAGTCCTTCTTCTCCTTGCTGTTATCTTTAGAGGCATCCAAAGCAGCTCGGACGATGGAAATTACGGTCTTCACGCGTTTAAACATCACTTGTCCAGTGGACATCATGATCAGCAGCATGAACACGATCAGCGCCCAGTACAAGTGCGATAGCGTGTGGCTAACTTGCCTGCGAGTATACGTTACAGTAAAAACACATGACGTGGGTCAGAAATACACACACCACAGCAACCAGAAACTCTCGCACTTGCAACACTTGCAAAGACACAATACCAACTCATCAACGTACTTGCAGTCGTAGAGTGGAATGTCGTAGCCAATATGCTCGTAGCAAAAGAGGTCCTGCGAGACGCGGAACATGAGCAGCGCCAGCGCTAGACAGCCTGGAACCAGGTAGAACTCCAGGTTCTTGTACGGATCACGCTCGGCATTAATCTCCAAGAAACGTCGACACTCGTCTTCAATCTGAGTTTCCACTTCATGGCGGTAGCGCATGATCTCACTGTGGCGACCCATGCGTGCCCCTTCATCGAACACAGCCATAGCATTTTCCAAGCATGAAGTGTGGTGCTTTTTGAGCTCCTGGACAGGGACGTATTGACACTTCGAGCCCGCAATCTTCTCCATCTCACGTTTGTACATGAGCAGAGCCTTGTTACGCTGATTCACATTGTTTGCTTCAGCAGTCGCCTCAAGCAGAGTCTTCGCCTCCGGAAAAATGGACGCCTCACGGAAAAGACCCGCGTATGTCTTAATGTACGTCAACAACTCGCGCGAGTTCACTGTGATTCCATGGATCTTCTTCGGGACCAGGTTTGCTGGAGCAAAAAGGTCGTCCAGGTAAGCGGTTAGCAGCTCCAAGAATCGGTCGTCAATCTTCTCCACTGACCCATCAAACTCACGCTCTGTCACAGCGTGACCAGGGTGAGGCAATAAGAAGCACGCTACTTTTTCAAAGCACGAGCTGATCTGTTCGCGCGTGTCGGCCAGGTCCTTCTGCTTACGAGACGAGAGCATTTCGGTCGTGTACTGTCTCATGTCTTCCCGCTTCTCGGCCAACGTCTGGTTTCGCGAAAAGTCCTGCCAGTCCCGCACCAGAAAGTCAAGACGTTGAAATGGACGTGCGCGCTGGCATTCTTTGTTCTCGCGTTCCCCTTCCCTGTCATTCTTCTCCTCTTCCTTCTTCTCGTCGTTGTCGTCGTCGTTGTCGCCCTGTTCACTCCCTGAGAACGCCGCCTTGTCCACACTACGTGGCGACTCGGATACGATTGTCGAAGCCATCGACGTCGCTCGCTCCACCGCCTGGCGCTCTTCATTCGACTTGGAATCTCCAAACAACGCCATCCTATTCATTCACACCCACACACACTCCGTCAGCTCTTGCGGACCTCCTCACCAAAACAGCACAACACCAGACCACACAACAAACAAGTCTCCACTTCTCCCTCCCCACATCAACAACAACCCCAACTGCTCGTTTTTCCTCACCGTCCATACTCGGTAAACAGCGCCAGATGCTGCAAATTATCTTCTTGCACGCGCTTGTCGACGTTGTAAATCTGGTACGAACTCAGCAACGTGCTCAAGCCAAAGATGCTGGCCGTCAGCATCTGCGACGTCTCCGAGTCAAACATGCCTTGCGTATCAATCAGAAACACGGCAATGTCTTCGCCGCTTTCACTCGTGCGGCGGAATGGCGTGTCCCACATCCAAATGCCCGTCGTGTTGCGTTTCCGCCCGGCGCGCCAGGAAAAGCCCTTCTCACTGCCGCTCTGGTCCACGTTGGAATTGCCTTCGAGCGTCACTTCCCGCCTGCCGCTGACGCCTTCGAGCGTCCACGACTTCCACGTGGGCGAGGCGACGTCTTCGGTCGGCAGCACGGGCTGCGAGTGCGCGTGTCGCAGGTAGCGCAGGAACAAATCCAGGATGAAACTCTTGCCCGTGCGGAACGCGCCCACGACGGATATAATCGCGACTTTCATGTCTTCCGGGACCTGGAGGAAAATCTGCTGCAGCGCCTGGTCGTCCAGCGTGAAGTTCGTGCCTTCGTCATTGATGCTCACGATCTGACGCGCGCGCGGGAGGTCTGTGACGGGGTCGAGAGGGACCAGCGTGGGTGTGGACGCGGAGGAGGGCGACGGCGACGCAGGGGGCGACGCCATGTGGAAGCTGATCTTTTATGATCTTTTCTCTCCAGGAAATGAAGAGCTACGGCGAGAAGAGAGAGCGATTTTGTCGAAGTAACTGGATACTTGGAGTTGGATAGTTGGGGGTGAGAGGTTTTAAGGAAGAATCGGGGATGGGAACATTCTTCGAGGGGGGAGATATAGATGGATGGCGACGTGGGAAGCGGAATAATGAGCACGAATGGACGGATTGGGTCTTTTGATGGTGAGAGTGGCAACGGGAGTTTATCTTGCGAGTCAGGAGGTGATAAACCGCGGATTTTGTGTGCGAGGTCTAGAGTGGTGCGCGGTGTGAAGTAAGCGCTCGATGTAGCTCCTGTAAAGTAGACGAAGGCTCGATAAGTTTACTGGAGAGAACATGAGATTGGACACGTGTTGACGGGACGTCCCATGTGAAATACAAAAGACGATCATGACAGAATGATGCGGTAATGTTCTTTGTCGTTCATCCGTACACATCGGACGTATCCAATCGTCCAAGTCCTCTGTCAGAAGCTGCACCCGCTTTCGCTCGATCGCTTTGCCTTGGGCAGAAGGACGAGGTAATGGAAAGGTGGAAGAATCCTTGGGTAGAACAACCACCACCACTACTTTATACCCAAGCGTAGTGGAAGTCTGATTGCAATTTACTTTTACGTCCGACTTGGCCATTCAATTCCATGCAATAAATGCAAACCGTAATTGTTTCTCGTACCCGACCACGAGCTGTCGGCTACACTGTCCACTCCGTGTAATCCGTCACCTCGCGTACACTTCCTTAACCAACCACAGCCGCCTTAACTGAACTAATAAGCGCTGACACATACCCTCACTCCACTACAAACTATAAACAACCCCTCAATTCCCTGCATCTCACATTAAAGTTGAGTCTTAACCAACTCAAAACCACACTCATGTAAAACAAGGGCTCAAATCAAATGCATCGAAATGTCGCCACGTCAATCACCGCTCAGATTCCATCCACATCCTATCATCCATCATACCCGTCGTCACTCCACTGACCTCTCCAACCGCATCGAACAACAATCAGCTCTCGACCCCACCCCATTCCTTCCGCTACCAGTGGATGCTCCCACAAGAACCTCCAGCGTCGCCGCTAGCGCCCACACAAGTAGTAAACAACCAAACAGGTACTACAGCGTCGCTCATCCGCAAGAAGCGCTCGAAATTCCGGTCCAAGACGCGCCAGTCCGACGGCCAGGATCGATCCTTTAGTCTCGACCACGTACCTTGTGCCTTGCCGTCCGTGAGCATGCAGCAGAAGCGCGATACCCATCACTCTAGCGTGTGTATTACAGACTCTATACATTCATCTTGTACGGACTCGATGGACCGCGACTCTTGCAGCCACAGTGACGAGAGCAGTGAAAGTGTAGCCATCCCACGTCGCCCAGGTCGACCTCACCCGAATCGTGGCGCTCTTCGTTGCAAAACCCCTAACCGCAAAACATTGTACCACCATGCACCGGATGCGTCATCATTGGCGTCGGTTCAACCGGGCAGGTTTCGGTACTTGAAACCAGAGGAGATTCAGAGTGGGCAAGTGGCTGACTATGACTTTGCAGTGATTGTGAACCGTGTCGTGCAGCTGCCTAATTGCGTAACGAGAGCTATGGATTGTTTCGGCTGCTGCTGTTGCGGTGCACCAGCTGTTGAGACTACGGTTGGGGGTCCTCGTAGTAATCGGGGATGTCTAGACAGCATTGCAGACGCGTCGCACGAACGCTCGGGCTTTCGACGACTGTGTCGAGCTAGTTCGCAGCACTTGAGTGAAAGTGAAGACGAACACCGGAGAATTGTCACGGAGCTGTGCAGTCAAGGACTCGAAGTGGATATCATTGATGGAGGAGATTCAAAGGGGAGATGCATTCAGGGTACCTCATTCTGCTGGTTCGGGCACCAGATCCAGTGGTCATGTCGTTGGTGAAGCAATTTCGTACGCACATGTGGATGGAACACGGTGCTGTTGTGGATATGGAGCACGACGTGGCCGAGCGCCGCGATGAACCGACGACTCCAGCCGAACGGATTGAGATTGTGGACTATATCATTGAACAACGGGCGCGATTGACCAAGCAAGATGTTTGGATCCACGATCTGTTTCCGATGCACAATGAAAGCGTGACGAACACGTTAATTCATCGTTGGGTCGCGTCCTGGCGACTCCACGAATTGGATGATAAGAAAGTGTTGTTGTCGCTACGCTACAATTTCGGTGAAAAGGTGGCATACTATTTCGCGTTTATCAAGTACTACAACACATGGCTCATACCACTCGCAGCAATCGGTATTTTGTTGGAGCTTCTGCGTGGTGTCATTGCCATGACGATGTACATGCGAATCCTTCCATTTTGGGGTCTGGGGGTGTCGGTTGTATGGGGTTTCGGATTCCTCAAGTCGTGGGAGCGCGAAAACGCGTGCATCCAATACGAGTGGACAGGCAAACTGCATGTCAAGCAAATCGAGTATCGTAACAAACGATTCTTTGGAGAGTCTCGAGTAAATGCGTTGACAGGTGAAGTAGAATTGGTGTATCCGGCGTGGCGACGGATGCCCAAATATTTCTGTGTGTTTCTATTCATGCTGTGCCAGATGCTGATCATGATGATCCTCGTCGCGAGCTGGGTTACGATATATGAGATTTTGAAAGCGAGCTACAAAGATAGCTACATTTTCTCGACGCAATGGTTTCTCATTTTGCTAGAAGGGTGTGTCTTTGGCTTCTTCGTCGACGTCGTTCAGTGGAACATGGTGGTAACGAAAATGGGTGCTCTGTTCACTCATTGGGAGAACTATCGAACGGAGGAGCAGTACGAAAAGGCGCTGATTCGCAAGCTCTTTTTGCTCGACTTTCTTAACTACTTTACTTGGTTTTTCTCGCTAGCATTCGTGTTTGTGATACCGGGGCTGGGCAATTATTTGACAAACACTTTGAACCACACGTTTTTCGGTGACGCCATCAATTGCTGCTTCGGACCGTATGTCGATCAAGCTGGCTCATGTACTACGTGTCCTGTGGGTGATAAGGACGACACCTGTGTCGAGTGCGTTGGGTTCTTTACCTTTGATCGTCGTCACGTGGACTTGAGCGCTATGTTTGTCACTCCCATCGTGATCACACAGCTGTTAAACATACTACTGAGGCTAATAGCACCCATCCTCGTGCGAAGACGTCGTGAAACCGCCCAGGCACATGCCGATACACTAGCACAGAAGCGCGTTCTTGAATCAGGCTCACTCAAGATCTTGGGGTCCCTGGACTATGCAGACCAGAAGGCGTCTCAATTCGACAACAAGTCCAGTTCGCGGTATCTGGAGTACACCCCTACGGAAATTGAGGTTCTCAATAAGAAGGCTCGTGAGATTTTGTTCGACAGCGAGCAAGATACTTACGACCCATACGACGACTTTCATGTGCTAACGGTGCAGTTTGGTTTCACCGTCATGTTCTCAATGCTGTGGCCGTTGATGCCGTTCGCTTGCTTTCTGATCAATAGCATTAAGGGCCGCACGGACGGCTACCGGCTTTGCAAAACACTGAAACGCCCGATTCCACGACGAGCCAATGGCATTGGGGCTTGGAATGGTATACTTACCACTTACGCGTACATCGCAGTCATCGTCAACGTTTTGTTGATTTGCATCTCGACAGGGGTACTGGAGTTTTTCGATGAAACATGCGTCGCCGATATTCGACACCAGCTCGAAAAGCAGGGGAAAACTATTGACGACTTTACCTTTGGTCCGGACTTTGGCTGTATACATATCTCATGGCGCCTTCTGTTCATTCTACTGTTGGAGCATTTTTTTGTGGCAGTAGCTTACGCGAGCACGCGGCGCGTTCCTGGCGTCCCCAGCTGGATCAGGGATGTCATGAATGATAGAGAAAACAAGTTTAAAAAGCTCCTGCGCGAGCACGAGCTGGAATTGTTTCCTCCGAATTAGTGGGAGCGACAACGAAGGAAGCAGTCGTGGTGGCGCAACTGTTACTGAGCTTGGTGATAAAGATGAACGCTCAGTGTCGTCCGACGCCTATTGTATGGAAATCAAGCGACTTGTTGGATTGCGGGATGGAACAACAGATATTGCGAATCGAAGCACTCGTGTTTCTTCATCGCAGCAATTAGCTCTTACGCCAACGAGAGCGGCATCTCGTTCAGTTTCAATCGATCCTATGACACCTCTCTCTCAAGTTGCCAGCGACATGGAGTTTCCAACTAGCACTGGTGTTCGCACAGAGGCTCGTGCAAACCTCGCACGGCAGTGGTCGGATGGTTCAGCGTAACATTATGCTCGAAGAAGGGTACCTCATGGCCAGCTGCTCATCATGACATTTGTTGATTGACGAATGATCGTACACGACGCTATGGTCACGAGTTGCACATGCATGATTGATATCTGTGTGGTATGTAAAGAAAACAGGGATCAGAAGAAGTACTCGCCTGCTACCAGCGGAGTGAGTACATTTTTCATTGGAATTTGACTAAATTGCATCCTAAGCTTGGCTTGGTACAACCTAGGCCTGTGCTGGCTCCAAAGTGATGTTCACTGCCTGAAGCACAAATTCGGATTGACATTGACATGCAAACGTATCGAAGGTTTTTTTGGCGAGCATCACGAGAGGAGACTTCTTGTCACAATTTGAGCGCATGTTAGCGGTAGCAAATCGGTGTTGTCAATAAAATGTACTTACTTGCGCGTCGATCACGTTGCTTCTTATATCATTGAAACCGAACACTTCCACTGCGAAGTGCTCCGAATTAAAGCAGTGTATAGAATGGACGATCAGGTCGCTGGCGAGCAGCATGAGTTTGTACTTGATTCCGGCCTGCTTGACTATCGAAGACCTCATCGTCACCGAAGCTGGCACTTGAGAAGCCGAAAAGCGTATTGCTACCACAAGATGAAGGTTTGAAATCTAACGTCTAATATCTCTACGTCCATTCATGACAAGCAGAAGAATGACGCAAGACGATTCGGAGAATGCTAGACTTGTTTTGAAAAGATGGCAGGTCCATGCAATAGCTCACAGGAATGTCGAGCCGCGCATTTTACTTTTCCTGCATCAATGGGTACAATCGTTTGCATCGTCGACGGAGAACTCGGAACCGACTCACTATCGCATGAACAAACTGGCTCAGCTGCCAGTGGAACTCGATGTTTAATGGCGTCGAGCATTATCATCCGAGATTTTTTTCATTCAGCTGGATGCATCCTCGTTTATCACGCGTCCGAGAGCATGAAAGCGAACCCAACTCAGGCGGTGCACAATATGCACGCACCTACTATCAGCACAAGACAAGGACGTTTGTATATATCTAGGTCATGTGAACAAACGCCTTGATTTCCTATACTTATTTGGTCACCATTCCGACATCGTGAATCAAGAATAACGTCCTCATAAGTTTGTCATCAGCTGGTGAGATACGCGGCAGTGTAACCGTGCGTTGACGAGCTTCCGATCCTTTACGGTTGCTGACATAGCGCGAGTTCGACGATCCGCAGTATAGAAAGCTGCGAGAACGGGTAACCAGAATCCTAAACGTCGTGCTTGCACCACTACAAACTCTACAGTCCAGATTGCAAGCACCCACTCGAACAACGATTTGGCTGACAACTTATGTGTTGTCCATGTACTGGACACAGCGTGGCGACCTCAATAGTCTTCCTTTTGTGAAGGCATTCACGGGAGTGACATGAAATGAATTGCTATCGTCGTAGTTGTGCGCTACGATATCGGCAACTTCCTATGCTTTGTCGACGTCATCGAGTGGTACATGTGCAAAGGAGCTATTGTTGGGTGACGATTCCCTAGCAATGAAGACGTACATTACGTAGCATGTTCTTGAATGTGACTACCACAGGAAGTCCCGACGCCGAAACGTCACGTCAGGTGCCGACACCCAACGAGCTAGGATCTTCTTCACGCAGCACAGTACACTGTTTGCACTGCGTATATCACTAGCCAGACTGAAAATACCGGCTAGTGGAAAGAAAATAGTGCAGTTAATCTACAATTGGAAATGTATCGAAGACTTCTTCTCCATTCAACATACGAGAAGGCAGCCGCACCACAATCGGTCCCACAATGGGCGCGATAACGGGCGGATGAGAACATGGAAAGACAGAGCCGAGGCGATATCCCTCCTTCTCTCCCGTACATCGAGTCCCAAAATCTCTACCACGCAAAGGCGGCAGAAGCTTCAGAAACACGGACGAAGAAGTCTTCGAAAAGTCGGTATACGCCTCATATTTAACCGCATAACCATGAGAAGACACCTCCCAGCTCCATCCAGAGGACGTGGCTAAAGGAAGCAAGGCTAGAGGCTGGTAAAGAGAGGCTTTACAGCGAGGGATCACACGCGTGCACAATAAGTAATGACGACATTGCTAATTGGTTGTCTCACACCCACAGAATAAATGACTGGTGCACGAGAGTCACTCTCTTTTTACACAGAAAAGGTTTTTACGGAGAAAAACAACATAGTAAAGTGCAGGAAATGAATCGTCTGCTTTAACGTCTAGCGAAAATGCAGCCATTTACTCGCCGTATTCCATGAGAGCGAGCTCCTTTGCATCTGGAACAGTCATTGGGCGTCGTCCGGTGCAGATTTCGTCGTCATCACTGTCTAAAAAAGACTTGGCAGTAGCGGAGAGCAGCTCGGAAGGGTCAACGGTCACCTCCTTTTCTGGCAGAACGGGTGCCACGCCTACTAGCGAATTCTTGCTCTTGGACGTACGCAGATACTTTTCCCACGCGAACTGTTCGTGCTTGTACAGCTCCAGTGTCGCTCGAGCATCTTTAACCTGCGATATGTTTTTGCACGAGTAGAAGTGTAAGTTGCACATGTAGAGAGCCAACACAAAGAGTTTTATGCACGAGCATAGGAAGCAAATACGCACCGAGTCGTGCTGTCCAACTTGGATCTGCTTGCCGAGCACCTCTTCCGCCAAATTCTTCAGTGACTTGGGGTACAATTTCTACATGTGGTCAAAACACACAAACATCATCATTAGATTCCGTGCGTTCCTGCACCACCAAGATGATTTCTCATACTGTGCCATTGATTTTCCGACGCATGTACGGTCGGTACAAAGCGGTGTCCCGAAGAAGGTGTTTCGGCGGCGTAAACATTAACGCTTGGAAGTCATTCTTCAATGCATGACCAACAATGATCTTGTCCTGGACGTGTTTGCCCACCTCCTTAATACACTGCGCAAATGGAATAGCATTACGAAGCGAGCTGGAGCGAATGCCGCTCACGTGCGTCCGGAAATCCGTGACTTTTTCCACAGGCCGAACGTGCTTGTCGTACAGCACGTTGCCCTCATAGTCCACGATACTGCAGCGTGCAAGCACACTGGTTTTTCCCGAGAGGCCTACGCCGACCATCTCGCAATCCATTGCAACAATACGGGCATTGTCCACCCAACCAGCAACCCGAGCCTTAACCCTCTTCTCCTGCTTATCCTGCTTCATCCGCGTCTTCTGGGCCTTCACATCCAAGTCGTGCTTTCTCTCGTATCCAGGACCAGTTCCACGACGCTGGCCTGTCTGTAATATCGTGCTCTTGAGGGCTTTCCAATTCGAGTTGGCCAGAGCAGTCGGGTTCACTAATGGTCCCGCCTCTTGCGGTTTATTGGCCACTATCTTGACTTTCGACACTTGGTGTTTCACCATAGCTGTCTTCCGCTTCTTCATCGTCTTCTTTACGTTATGGCGTAACTCGTCACTTGTGTTGCCATTGCCTGGTCGTGACCCTGCAGATACTTCCGATCGCCGTCTTTTGCTTCCCATTTAGCCCTTTACTTTGGTTTGACTGGCAGCGGTGCAGGTTGGGTATGTACTCGAATAAGTAACCGAAACAGTAGAACATTCATCCGGTAGAAACAGGTTTGATGAATAATCTCCGTAAAAACTAGGAGTTTCGAGTTTCGCCGTGTGTTTTTTTTCTTTCCACTAAACTAAATTACCACGTTAAGAGCGTCTTCAGCTGTGAGTAGAACTTGATTTTTAGTGCAATTGAAGAAGGAGAAAATTGTTTACCCCATCTACGTTTTGTTGTTCTGCGACACTCGAGGTAACTATCGAGAGATTTATGCCGCGCGGTCCTTCAGATCACCCTGGGGTGAACTGCGAGTACCCTGACTTAGTTTGAACTCCTTACAGGACCCGCACCCCTCATTACACTATGGGGCTTTTCGGCTTGTAGTGTAACGGGGTGAATCGTTACATAACAATTTATAAGAAATTGTTAATAGAATATAACTATAAGAGTTATATTCTCAGAATATTGTCATAAGGACAAATATTCTGTAGCACTTCCAAGTAGTTCCTAATTGGTTGATATAGGCCATTATATCAACCAACGAAGACGCGCCACGACAGACGCACGCAATGAGTGGTGAGCAGATAACTGATTTACACATTTGTATTTAGACATAGTTAGATGAAGATAAATAGTGATTTATTGCAGACATTAACTATTATAAATACAGTTCTACTTTTTACTCTAACCAAGTACTCGCTTCTTCTTACCGTCTTCCTCTGCACGTACGAGTGTACGTGAAGTTACGAGCCACCGCCTTATTCTGTCATCAGAATAAGTAGCTTGTACTGTCACCAGTACAAGCTTCAGGGTGCCCGTTACATGTAGGGCCTCCGGACGGCACCGGCCACCCATTGGTGGATGCTCGTCTACATTATTAGCCTATCTCCGGCGCCCTGTAATCGAGTCCCCACCGGGTATCGATCCAAGTACCTCCCGGTCACAGTTTAAGTGGTCTACCACTCGGCCACTGGGGTCGGTCTCGAGGTAACTATCGAGACTGCATGTCATTGAATTTCAAGGTCAGTTAGGTCAGTCGTGAACATAGTACGGATCAAGGGTGAATACCTACAAATTTACAAGAAATAAACTAACACGACTAAACTAATTCAGCCACATCAAGCCGAAAAACACCTATACTAAGTAAGTTAATTAAAAGCTCCGACCCGGACCAATGACCCATTGGTCTCTTTAATTTTCCCCATATCTTGCTCCGCAACCAACCCGGATAGCGTATTTCCTAGCTAATTTAGGATCCTAAATTGAGCGCTGTTTTCCACATCTAGCACCTGTTTTACTGATTGGAGAGGCTTGTGTCGGTCTTTCATGATTACTGGTCACCATTCAGGTAAATATGCTTTAGCCGATTTTAAATATCATGTCATAAAAATGAGCACAAAACCGATACATCCAGAAACTGCATCAAAGGTCGCCTCCGCCGACAGTGACACTGAGCCAACGGAGGGTGCTGCCAGTACCGGTGGAGGCAAGAAGACAAGCTGAGTTCGAGCGTACTTTGTGAGGCTCAGAGAAGGAGGTAAAGCTGTTTGTCAGTCCCCAAAACTGTTAGCCAATGTTGAGCTTGCACTTGATGAGGTAGAAAGGAAAACTGATATTTAAATTGTGCCGTTATGTCCTAGCTCGCTATCTCGCACAATATGTCTCTGTATCTGCCGCTCTTACTAGGTCGACTAAATGTCGCTGCGCTACCATTCGCTACCACTCCGATGACGCGCTTCCTGTCTGTTGGTAACTGCAAGCTTCTTCACCCATCTTTGCAGCCCCTTCATCTGTTGACTGTCCTCTTGTACACGTGCAAACAGTCGCTGACACCAACTTGATCTGACATTTCGTGCCGCACATCGTGACTCTTCATCTCGATCTTCAACCCTCCTCCTTGTCGTCGACTTACACTGCGCTTACACGATGTGTAGCAGTGATCGCAACTTGACCGTCTTGACTGCATTAAGTGCTTTGGTTAGTACGTCCGCAAGCATCAGGTTGCTCGGCACATATTGTGGCACCACAATGCCTCGACGAGCGTAGTCGCACAAGTGCTTGACTCTCACATCAATGTGCTTGGCTTTAGTAGACGACGCTTCTCCTTCAATCTGCCGTATCGCTGCCTGGTTGTCGATGAGCATTTTCATCGGTAGTGCAGGCGACTCACCAATTACACTCAGCGTCTCTATCACTTCAAGTAGCTCTCGTCTAGCCTCAGACGCTGCCACAAATTCCGACTCCATTGTCGAGAGCGCCACACCTCCTTGCTTTTTCGAGTACCAGCTGATTATTATTCCATTTAGCTTGATAGCGCTACCGGTCAATACCTTTCTGTCTGCCTTGTCGGCTGCGTAGTCTGCGTCACTGTAGCTCATTAGAACAGGTTGTGCAGTTTCTTCGACTGCTGGCTTCATGCTGATCTTCAATCCACGCATGCCACTCAAATAGCGCACAATGCGCTTAGCCAAATTTCAGTTATGGATCCGTGGCTCGTGTGTTTGTCTGGGTGCCTTGTGCACCTCGCTACCCAAAGCAACTATCCGACAATAGACTGAAAAGCACGAACGCTAGGGTGACCTGGAGCACCCGTGTCTACAAGTAGTCCGCTGTCTGCACATTTAACTTCACAAACATCTGTCCCGAAAGGCGCACGACTTGAGTTGGCATAGGTCATGCCGTGTTCACGTATCAAGTCGACAATCGCCTCCTTCTGGTCAAGAATATATCCAAGATCTTCGTTTCGCGTCACGCGCATCCCCAAAAACTTCGACACTGGTCCAAGATCTTTAATCGAAAGACTTTCGAGGCTCGCAAAAAAAACCGTCAACTGCAACAGCGGGAGCTTTAGTCACCAGCAAATCGTCTACGTAGACTCCGACGATGACGACTCCATCGATGTCGCGCTTGTAATACAAGCAGAGGTCGCTGATGCAGTGAGTAAAATCCGGCTTCCAATAGCCGATTGTTAAGCAATTGGCTTCACGATCGCCCTGCTTGCTTTAAACCAAAAAGAATTTACTTCAGTTCAAGCACGACATCTTCAATCTTCGTTGCCCCCAGTTATTTCAACTCTCTTGTATCAATCGTCATGCCCTTGGGGACATGCATCAAAATCTCGAGATGCTGTTCCTTCTCTGCTTTTACGTAAGCACTGGGGACGTCTCCGTGCTTAGCCGGGACGCCCCATGTAGCAGCTAACGCCAAGATTACTTTCACTGTCGTCATGTCCATGACGGCAGCGAAAGTTAGCGCGTAGTACACGCCAAAAACTTGTTCACTACCGCAGGCAACGAGGCGCACTTTACGCCTTTCCAGATCTCCATCGGCAGTCGTCTTGGTCTTTAAGATCTATTTACTGTGGAGAACGTTGCTGTTGCTTAATCGGAGCGCCAAACGCCACACTTCGTTTCTTTTAAGCGCGTCCAGCTCCTCACGCATTGCCTTTTGCCACTCGTTTCTCTTCTTGATCTTTATTGCTTCAACATAGTTGCGAGGATCTCTTTCGAACACGTGATTGACGACATCTGCGCTGACAGCTTTTTCTTGTTGGCTTGCAGCTGCTTTCTTTGCCGCACCTCTTGTCTCGTGTGGCTGGCGAGTCCATTATTTTTTCTTCTTGGGCTTCTTGCTCTCAGTAACACTACTTCTTTGTCTCACAGGTGTCTCAGCGCCTTCGTCTGAATCTGCCCGGTCATCAACATCAAGGTCTAGTTGCAGCTGCCTGTTCTAAGCTTCAGACAACGTTTCAATATTCTTGACATGCTGCGTCGTGATAACTTTGTTTTCCTTCCTGATGAATACTCTGAAACCCTTGGTTTCGTCACTGCATCCAACGATCGTGCCCACTTTAGCGCGGCGCGCGAACGTGTTCTCGCTTGGATCACGGTAGACGGTACAGTGGGAGCCAAACACGACGATGTTGCGCAAATTCAGCGATTTATTCGTCAGAACTTCAAGCGGCGAAGATCTCTTAGGATTTGAATTCGTGGGGCTCCTGTTCAGAATATACGTGGAGTGTATAGCGGCATCGCCCCAGAACGTATGGGGCAATCCAGACGCGAAGATCATCGCTCGTGTCATGTTTAAAACGGTCCTGTGCATTCTCTCGGCATACTTATTCGACGCTTGATTTTGCGCTTCACTCACTTGTCTTGCAGCGCCTGTCGATTTGCAGTACAGATTAAATTCTGATATTCTCCACCGCCATCATTTTTGAGAGCCGTTATTCTGCACTCAAATCGTCGCTTAAAAAACACCAAGAAGTGTTCGAACTTCTTTGCCGCAGCGTCCTTGGTTCGAGCTAAGAAAACTCACGACAGTAGTTGGTCTTGTAATCGATGAAGTTGATCAGATATCGGTTTCCGAGTCGATCCACAGGCGTTAGTGAACCTTTTAGGTCCGAGCAGATGACACCGCCGATGCGGTCGATCGGGGCGTTCTGTCCAGATTCTTTCTGGTTCTGCTTGTTTTTTGTCTGCTTGGAGTGTGCGCACGTGATGCATGTCATCCGTTTGTGGTCCGTCAGCTCGATACCCGAGATTGAATTTCTCGGGACCTTCTCAATTGCATCGTACGAAAGATGCCCCAGACGTTGATGAAAAAGTATTAGAGAGCCACGATGCATCTTCGAAGTCATTTCATCTGCTGCCTTCTCCTGAATGGCAGCCATTATAACATCCGCTTTCTCCTTTTTGCGTATACTCTTTTTACTGTCTCGACGTTTAGCACACTATTCTCCATCGTCACGTCGAACGAGACTTGGTCATCACTCCGTCGAGCTCCTGATCGCTTGCCATTAGAATACTCAAGACTGTGTCCCTTTTGATCAAGCTTGACATAGTTGATGATGTTGCGGGCCAGACTCGGTGAATAGTAGACGTCCGTGAGTTTGACTGTTTTTTCTTTTCCATTGACAACCACGGAGAGTCTCACACTATCGACCGTGGACAGACCGACCTTCTCGTTATCAGCTAGCGAGACTACATCGTTGCAAATCTCTGCTTCGATCAGCAGGCGATCGTCTTTCACCAGGTGTCGACTGGCACCGCTGTCGAGTATCCAGTCGTCTTTCACTTTGTCGCCGTCGTCAATAACAGCAAGAACCACCTCGCCGTCGTCTTGGCGCTCTTTTGGACGTTCCTTTTCTACCTGCAGTCAATCTTCAAATGACCTTGTTTGCCACAATTGTAGCATGAACGTGTCTCTTTGCGGCGCCTTTCATCAGTGACAGCGGCGACTAACTCGCGTCCCAACGTCCTTCCGGTTTTGTTCTCAAGCTCAACAGACTGTGCAAATGCGCAAGCTCTTCAGCTTGGCGCAAGTGATCGTGTCGGTCAATGTTGTACTTGGCCATCAAAACTGTTGTAAGATCAGCCGACGCATAGTGGACAATGTTGTCGAGAACTTGTGCTTCTGCACCTCCACCGCAGGCATCGCATACAGCAACCATATACAGGTAGTGTTCAGGCCATGATCTCTTGGGATCCTTTCTTGCAGTTAAAAGCTTCATTATTTGCGACGCCGTGATTGTAGTCTTGAATGTGTGTAGCAACCGGCCCATAGCGTGATCGAGAGAGGCTTCTTCGAGCCACCAAACGTCCACTTGTTTTTGGTAGTACCTCTCTGCTGTCCCACCTAGGTAGTGTCCCAGCAAGTTGATCTTTACATCTTCAGCCCATGCAAATCCGCAGGCCTGCTGCGCCATAGTGACTTGGAGCAAGAACGTGCGACCCCAGTCAGCAAAACCCGATCCTAGACCCTGGTACAGTTCTGTACCATCAAACTTGCGAATGGCAAGCTAAAGTTGGCGTGCGTCCGGGACACGCAACGGCAACTCCTGCGTCGGTGCCTGCTGCATTGGTGGCACAGGCGAATGAACGTCTTTAAAATCTAGAGGCGACACTGGCGCATAGCGCGGCGCCTGTGGTCGAGCAGCGCCCGCTGGCTGTCGCGGACCGACATAATGTGGACCGAACTGCTGGAATAGCGAGTCACCTGGTTGCGTCACGCGACACGTCCACGCGGCTGCCTCGGAGCATCATATCCTAGCGCGTCACGATGAAGAGTCGTACCGCCCATGCCGCGTCCCAGCGCTGACGCAAAAAAAGCCACTGTCGATCGCGCCTTGCAGTCGCTCGTCCTCTTCGATCTGCATCTGCGACGCCTCGAGCGCTTGCATGCGATCCGTGAGTGCAGTCAACATAGTGAGGATCCTTTCGTCGGTCTACGCACCCCTTTCGTGGGCTTGGGTATCGCTAACAACGGCGGCCCTTTCGTGGCCGTGATCTGCAGGTGCAGAAGTCCTCATTTCATCAGTCGGAGGAGCCATTGGGTTTGGGCTCAGAGCCTGTTAGCCAATGTTGAGGTTACATTTGATGAGGTAGAAAGGAAAACTGATATTTAAATTGTGCCATTATGTCCTAGCTATTCTGCTCGCTATCTCGCACAATATGTCTCTGTATCTGCCGCTCTTACTAGGTCGACTAAATGTCGCTGCGCTACCATTCGCTACCACTCCGATGACGCGCTTCCTGTCTGTTGGTAACTGCAAGCTTCTTCACCCATCTTTGCAGCCCCTTCATCTGTTGACTGTCCTCTTGTACACGTGCAAACAGTCACCGACACCAACTTGATCTGACATGTCGTGCCGCACATCGTGAATCTTCATCCCGATCTTCAACAAAAAATTCGTAGCGGATCAGCAATTAGCGGAGCTACGCATATGTGTACAGCTTTTAGTGGCACCAAACATTCTGGCAAGCGGTGGATGCATAATGAGCTACTTGAATAAGGTACAGTGCGTGCAAATGTAAAAATATCAATATCTGAAGGTGTTTGCATCGCATTAATTGATACAAATGAGTTTTTAATCCAGGCGTTGCTCAAATTTATTCTAGTGCAGTCATTACCTTATCAGTTTGTGGAATATAGGCAGCTGCTTGATCTTCTTGACCTTTGCAATCCTGCAACGAGCTCTTTGTAATCGAATAAATCTGGCAGTTAAACACATTCGATCACCTACACAAGCTTGTAATCTAAATAATTAGAAGATGTACACGCGTCTTTACAATGTGAACGTACAACGATATGTATCAAATTTTCAATGGAATAGGCAACATCTATTGAAATTATGCATGAGGAGCAAGGTTATGGCAGAATAAAGATGCCTGTCACATTTTCAAACGTATATACCTCAACCACGTATACAATGCTACTTAAATTTTGTGCACATTTAGAGGTACATGTTGGCCCATTTAACGGTTTTACTGTAGAACTTTGCCACATGAATGGTTGTCTTGCCCACTTGATCTAAACACATTTCGCGCTTGTATATTCGTGGGGATCAGTTAAAATTTAAATTTGTGGTACACACAAGCGTTTTGGACAAGGGCGACCTATTGGGTCGCCTTAGATCTGCTGGTATGGGTCCTGGGTCAAGGTCTGACCCAGACTAATAACATTAATTGGAGCCTTAAGTTGACGTAATCACACCCTTTTTCTTTGATTCAACCCCTTTGTCAAATTGATATTTACAAACTTTGTGATAAATGAAATCAGTATTCCTTTTGCCAAGCCAGTCATTGCTCCCTATAATGTAATTCTACTCGCCCTCTAGGGATTTATGCCGCGCGGTCCTTCCGATCACCCTAGGGTAAACTGCGAGTACTCTGACTCAGTTTAAACTCCTTACAGGATCCGCACCCCTCATTACACGATGGGGCTTTTCGGACAGTAGGGCCTCCAGCCCACACAACTATCACACGCCTTGCGCGGGTTGGCAGGGCGGCCACTTCTGCGTAGTTGCTCGTCTACTATATCGACCTATCTCCGGCTCCCTGTAATCCAACCCCCACCATCTGCTCGCCCTCTAAACCGTGCACCTGATGGTGCTATGCTTTAATTCCTTACCTTGGTTTCGCACCCTTCTTCCAATAAATCTTGCACTTCGCCATTAAGGGAAGGCAGATAACGAAGCGATGTGATATGGTATTTGTAATTGAGCACTTTACAAAGCAAACAAAGGACTTCATCTGGCATCTATTATTGCCTGTTCATGTGATATCGTAAAGTGTGACGTAAGGACGTTAAACAATGTCATGATAGAGGCCAGCTCCACACAGTCGGCTATCAGTAGTACGTACTAATTAACAGAAGTACAACGCCACACGCCCTTATAGTATTGCTAAAATAGTATCATTTTTACCACAAACTGTAACAGTCACTCTTGTCAAGCTCCTGTACCGCACTTTGGTTCCTTTTTACCTTCTTCAATAGATGGCGCCGCTTTTATAGTCTAGACTGGTTCCCTCGTGAATTTTAATAAATTCACGTTGGGATGCACAAAGCGTCTGCACAGTAGTCATTGCTACACTCATTGTGCCTAGCTACGTCATCGTGGTCAGCTTTGCAACTTTCGGAGCAGGTGGCGCCGAACAAACTCACGACGAAGATCTCTTTTAATTGCGTTTTGTACGATAGGAGAAAAGTAGGTTTAAACGATAACTGGGTAGTCTAATTGAGTATTTTTCGATGGTTACGTGTTCAGTTTGTCAACGAAAAGGTTCAAACATCGAGAGTACAGGCAGATCTGTAATTATCGATCGTGGAAAAGGAATACTTCCGGTCTTTTAATATGTCGCAGACTTCCTTAGGAGCCTGTGATTGACCTGCCAATGGTGCAGCAGCACGTAATCTATAGATAGAAGACAGAATGAAAAACTTTGTACATCAACGTGCTTATGTTAGGAAAGACCAGATCATATACACTTTTTACGATATCGTAATGTGTCTGTTGAGTAGTTATTTCATTATAAGTTATGTCTACCATGTATGTGTTTAGTCATTTAATTTAGATGATCGATAACGTATAAAAAGAAACGTATACAAGTGATTGAAATACAAATACCGGGTTTGACGGAAAATTGTGTGAAGTTAATAATAAAGAGTCAGATACATCAATTCCTGTATTAAACAATTTTATTAATTACAGTATAGTTTACCGCTTACCGTAAACTTTTAATTTAGTGCGAAAAAACGAATGGTTAAGCAAAATGGTCAAAAATCGATTTGCACAAGCGTGCCTAAATTGGGCAAATCTCCGTACAGCCACTTTCGCCGACCATCTCAAGCATCTTTTTAAATGTTACTTTACAGGAAATTGTTACTTTTTGGCTCAACTTCAATTCAGATTATAAAGAATTGCCACCGAAGTGTTTAGTGCGCTGGAATTACTTGGGACTTCTATGGTTCGATCGTCTATGTAACGGGGTAGCATGTCACATGATATTGACAACAAACGGTGTCAATAGGGATATTGTCTAGCGTGACAATTTCCTACCAAAATTAAGGAGATCAATATTATTGAAGAAACATAATCCTCTTGTAGGATTATGTTCATGCGCTGCTCAAAGATTGGTTGATGAAGACACATCAGCCAAGATTACTACCAATCGCGGCTAGACGCGCGTAATATGTGGTGAGCAGGTTGTTGTCAGACGACGATATAGATTGATGTAGTTAGATAATGACTAAAGTTACATCGATACCTTACCTATATTGAATACAGTTTTCTTTTTACCCTTTGCAGAAGAAAATGTTTGAGTGGATTAGCTATCTCTGGACGTGCTAGTGTACGTGAAGTTTCGCAACACTCCAAACAAAGGGTGCCCCGTTACAGTCTAGATGCTTTCAAAACCCAACCCATCCTGTACAGGTATATTTTTTAACACAGATATTTAGAAGGTATCATTTAATGTTAAGGGTATCAGTTTGAAGCACTCAAGTTGAGTAACAACTCATGAATACGGTACGCTAACGATTTGCAAATTGAAGTTTGTATCCACATTCGGGGTTATTGAAGACAACCTACCTCCGCTTCCATATAGGTAATTTCGGTATCGGGTACGCTGGGGCGCTGGTGTTGAATATGTCACGTCGAAACAGACTGAGTATGTGCGCACTTTAACGAAGAGCAAGGTAAATCGATTACGTTGTATGGGTGTGAAACTTATAAGGCCAAATGCAGACTGACTATAATAATAGTGGGAAATTATAAAATATTAAATAATGCATGGACATGATAGAATTTTCATTCTGACCTATCGGCGTTGAACAATACTCACTTCAATTTTTAGATTGATAAATTTGATCAAAGCGCACAAAACTAATTGGATCACATTAAATTACGAAAATACGTTACAAAGTATAGCTTAATGTATTCTTGGTTTCTCATAATTATTGTTTAATACAACCCTATTTATACAGCTAACACCCCGTTCACATACCCGTACCACACCATAATATACGTTGGCACGACCGGCTTCTCACCGCGATCGATGTCTACAATGTAAGTGAGCATGAGTTAGTTAACATAACAGTCTTCTTTCGACATACAGTGACCGACTCCGTTATTATATAAAAATATAGGCTCGATCAAAACGTTATATACTC